CTCTTGTTTTATAGTAGCAAGCCCTCTGTATAATGTTTTAGTTGGGGTTGAAACATTCGTTAAAACTATGAACACTGCCACGCTCAACAAGGCATGTTATTGCCTAATAAAAACTAGATTGAGTTAATAAATATGAATCAAACAGTTAGCCTTCAACTAAAATTTTTGCTCAACTCATTTATTGCTTTTCCAATATTCTACCAGTATAGATTTTCGCTTTTCATTTTTTAATATTTGTTTTGGATCTATTGATAGGAATTTCCGGTTACTGTGAAGATGCTCTATCACCTTGACCAACCACTTTACTACCTGTGTCGTGTCGCTCTTTCATTTATAGCTAATTAGTTATTCACGTTGCAATTACTTCCTTTATCAGTGTTTGTTATGTTGGCACAATTATTAATTTTTGCTCCCAATACGCTTAGTATTTTATATTTATATATTAACTACAACACCTACGACAATAGTGTAATAGTAGGGAAGAAGCAGAAACAGGAACTGCTTTACGCCTGACGTTCCTAAAACAGAAGTAAATTAGAAGGCGCGATTATTATGCAAAAGATATATACAGTAATTTTTAATTAGCGTTAAAATGCACCTCTGGTTTTTATAATAGCCTTTATTTACTAATTATTACAAGGCGCGCTTGCGTCTCGTAACTACATAACGGGAAAAAGTTGCTACTTTGAATTACTTTAATACGTGAGTTTTTGCAAAGCTATTGTTTTCTAGGTTTAATGCTATGAACCCGAAACATAATTAATTTGGTTAAATTAGGTTTAGTACCATTTTCCCCAAGCATGATGTCTGGTGGGTTATTGGGGCGGTAAGGCTCATTGCTTCTATCCAAAAAGCCTTGGGTAAATTAGTACTTTTTAATTGCTTTCGTCGTGGCTTTCGTTATACTAGAGTACCCCTTTGCAATATGTTGTGAGACGGTGGGTCTGGAGGGGGCGGACTCTTTAACCCCTTATAGGTGGCAAATTACTGTGTTTACCACTTGTCACCTAGGTTCAATTGAGTGATTCCCTTAAAACAACAAATCCATCTTAAGCCCCATAGTTTTTTTCATTAAAGGGTTAAATTATACTTATAAACCCACTTATCCGAGGTAACTTTTAATTTTTTAGCTGTCAAAAACTAGGGTCCCATAGTTTTTCCAAAAAAAAAATTGAAGACCAGTAAAATTCTCTATTATTTCTGCAAAAGTTAATGTAGACAAATATATATTCTTTACAAATCATCGTAATAACCAAGCTTGTTAACAGACTCATAATAAAGATCGTGTAGGTAAACATCTTAAATAGTGTTTAGAGAGGAACAATCATTTTACTCTTCAATTAACTTTTGGTTTCCTTAATAGTGGCCTCAGCATATACGTTTCAATTCAACTTGTAGCCTATAAAGTTGTAAACGATGCCGTTATTATATATAAAAACTTGACCTTTAAGGCCAGTGAGCAGTCTCCATGCCAAAACATAGCCCTAGAACCACAACCTTCGGTCACTTTGCAAACCCCTATAATGTATTTTGTAGCTAAGCATCTTCATGGGGAATTTTAGACAACTCGTTCTTGCAGTATTGAAACTTTTCAATCAATATACTTGAAATTTTCATCTATTAAGCACTTAGCATTTTCTATTTTTTTTCTAATGCAGGGCTCATTCTGAATTTCTTACTTGGATAATTATCAATTATTTTACTTTTTTATGTACCCGCTGAAACCCATTATAATACTTTGCCTTAGCACTTCTTCAAGCAGGTACACTTGATTGATTTTTTAGTGACTTTTGCATGTATAATGCTAGCTCGAACTTGAGGAGTGGTCTAAGGGTCCCCTCCTCTGGCTGGCGCTCATAGCTCTTAGTCGGGGAAGCATGTCTGTCGCTCTGCTAACTGATCTCAGGTGACTTCGAAGCAAGTATTTGAGGGTTCCTCTCCTGGTGATGGTTTTTAGCGTTAAGGTTTAGGGTTAGGGCGGAGGGCTCTAAAAAACTCTAATACCCCTTCGGGAGAATGCTCAGAAGGGCATTCATGCCCCTCTTGGAGAAGAGGTGGCCATAATTAAGGGGTTTTAAGTCTTAGTTAGCTACTGCCGTGGTATGAATGTGCTAAAAAAAAAAATGTTGTGTTGTGTTTACTCTTTTTTATGATCGGGACTCTTCCTTGCCTTAGTTCTGTTCTTTTATTCTCTTCTTTGTTATTTTCATATTAAGTCATGTATACATAAATGTTATTAATGTTAACTCCTTGTTTTTTAACATTTTAACATTTTTATAGAAGTAACAATCTCTCGGTTTCCTCGCATCCACGTTTTAGCTTAGTCGTAAAGATTGGATTCTTAATTTTGTTAAATTATTTAACCTTTCAACGCTTGTTTTTAAAACTTTTAACTCTCTCCTCTGTCTTATAACACCGTTTTTAAAAGTCAGGTCAGTAACATGTGTGAACGATCATCACTAGAAGACCCAATAATGAAGAAAAGAATAGACGAACTCTTTTCTTCCTCCAAAGAAAAAAGCATTACTGAAGAAAATATTACTATAAAAAGTAATTTTTTCAAATTTTAATTTTTTTAATTTAAAAACAGGTAACACGAGCGGTTGCATTACTAATTTTAATTACTAAAATCACGTGCTTTAGTTACGGGTCTTTGACAAGAATTAAGGCCTCCTGCTTTACTCTATTTTGTTAATCATTATATATATATTATCTCTCTTGTATTTCAAGTTGTTACCTTTAAAATTCTAATCTACGAACGCGACTGCTTAATTAATATTTTCCTAGTCAACTTAAAGATTTTATCTAACTGCTTCATCTCTAGTTACTTATTTAGATTGGAATCTAAAATGTTCTAAATATTAATAACATTACTAAGGAGACAGCGTGTCTTGTTTTAGGGTACTTGGTTTAGCCCCGTTTTATTAATAATTGAAGATCTTACCATGGTATTAGTGCAGTTACCACCTTGTTAAAGGTATTTAAGGGCAAGTTTTAATAAACTCTTAAGATTTCAATATTTTTATCACTGTGAAATTAATCATTCGTAGCAAACAAAAGGCATAAGTGAATTTACACAACAGCTTATTTAAATACTTTTTCACGCACTTGATGAGTTTAATTGAGTATTAACCCTATTAAGGGAGGCAGAGGGTGTTCTTGTATAACTTCTCTTAGGCCAATATAACAGGTGGAATAAGGAAATCTATCTCACCAACCTGAATTATGCGGGTCAATAGTTTTAACCTCTGAGCTACTAGGACAACTCACAACCTCGATATAATTGATTTACGCCAAAGGCCAGGGTATTTAAGTCAACTTTTGATACTCAAAATTTTTAGACAGTAATAATAGATTGGGTATGTAAATATATTATTAAAGGATTGAGAATTGTCGTCGTAGTTATTTTTATTTTTTTCTGTGTAATTACGGGCAAAACTCAGGGTTGACGCTTTGATTACCGTCGATGCGACTTTCATTTTCGGTCTTTGAAGGTTGCAAACATAATTATGACCTAGTAGAGCTCGAGTATTCGAATTGCTAACTCGTTCGAGCACAAAAATAGCCATTTATATATTAGTAAATGAATGGTTTAACTATTTCATTTCTGACTTATGATGCAACAAGAGAATTTGTTATTTTCTAACTTAAAAAATATTGATGGAATCGTTAAGAAAAAAAGGTATATTTCCAATATATATTAAGTTAAGTCCTTTATTCATTCAGCAAACTTCACAGCTTAAAAGCACATAAAGGAAAATATTTCAAAGAAATTTATGTGCATGACATTGGAATACAAACAGATTCCACCATTTTTTTACAGGCAGAGAAATATCCCCATAAATTTAACTTGAATTTAATTGAAAAACAGTGCTTGAATGAACTTCAAGCCTTAGGTAAACAAGTTATAGAGTCTTTTTGTTTTATATATTAATAGTTTTATTATGTTTATAACAATGCTAACGATATCAACCTTTAAATAATGTATACTTTATTTGAGTTAATAATAGTTGATAGTAACAAATTTTTAGATTAATACTAACTGGAGCAAACTTAAAACTTTTTATAATTTACTTATATGTATTATTTCAATTTAAGATCTTATAGATTCCTTGCAACAACATGAAATTTTAAAAGATAAAAGTTGCGAAAATTTACCATTCCCTATTTTTTTTGAAAAATCATTGAATCTCCTGATTCTAGGTAACTCGCAAAGTATACTAGTGTGCCTTTTTTTTGCTATAAAAAAACTTTAAAATTTAGCTATTGTAAAAATTTTCTATCTGTTGGTAAAGTAAACATTTACGCTGTAAATTTAAATAGCGACTTTCTTATCTTAGAAGAGTTCCACTAATTTTAAGACTTTAACAGTTATTACCGTTAGCAACTTTTAATTGAATATCCAATCTTATTCAAAGGGCTTCGCATATACTCAATAGCTTAAATAGGCTTCCTTCCATTGGAAAAAACTTTACTTTAAATTGGGAAGAGTTTGTTTTATAGCGCCTCTAGTTAACGTCAGTGCCATTATACACTAAATTTCTATTTGGAACCCTTTTGTAGCTTCTATACCAATCAAAAGCGTATTTTTAGCTGATAGTAAGTGTGATTATATGGTATCCTTTGAATTGTATATATTTTAAGTTAATTTAAACGCCATAAAAATTATTTAAATTTAAAAGTAACCAAAAATTTTCTAGCTTAACTCCTTATTATATATAAAAAATACCTTATAACTTAATGGGTGCCCACTTGTACCTCTCTCGTTTTAGTAGTAGTTAAAAATGAGTATTTTTTTAAAAAAAACGATTACGCTTAATAAAAATTTAAAAAAAATTGGGGGTTATACACAAGAAAACTGGTAGAAACAAACGTAAGTAACTTAAAACTCTTTACCTGTTCGCTGGTTCAATTATGCAGTTGGGCCCTGATAGTATTCGTAGTTACTACTCCAGCGTACCAAGCTTAATGGATAAACTTAACCTCACTTAGGTCGCTTGTAATGAAGGTTCGTAGACTCAACGATCAAGTTTATACGTTTGTTAAAGAATATATATTTTTTAAAATCATACTCTGAGCAAAGTCACAAATTCTGAAGAAAGCTGACATGAAGGAGGAAGATGGGGGTAGAAGATACTGTGAACTTCCTGATAACGGGCATGCCAGTTGGAGTAACTCTTGCAAATCTTACTTTTGGTCCAGCAGTGCTTATCGCTACAGCTTTTTTTGTTTTTAAATTGTTGGCGTAGTTTAAAATTTTAAAAGGAATAATACGGAATAGTACCCTCTGTCAGTAGGTTAGCATTTAACAGTACACGTTTCTTGGTAAACTTGAATAATAATTTGTTAAAGGGCTGCGTTCCTTATTGTTACTGTTATCATAACTATAATTCAAAATTTAATCTTGCGTAAACATAAAATGGCGTTTTTTAAGTACCAAACTTTAGAACAACTTTCTGTTGCGCTTTTAATTCCTCATATTTATATTTTAGCCTGATTTATAATTCTCTAAGTTGTAAACTACAAAACTTTTTTCTCTAAGCGTTTATCAAAGAATTAAGTTTGGGATTATTTTATATTGTAACAGAAATCGCCTCAAGATAGAATGAGGCTATCTGAGTATACTTAAGCATTTTATAAAAAGTTAAAAAGAAAGTTAATCGTATATAACTAAAAATACATTACACAGTAAAGATAAGCATATGCCTTAAAATAAATTATAAACTATACGATATAAAAATTTGAAACATTTGTTATATGTTCTTTAAGTAGTAGTTGTTAATTAGTAATTTCTATATATGAACCTATACTTATTTTTAAATAAGCTTTATTAATTTACAGGTCCCAAGGAAGAGCTTGTTAGTAAATTTTCTTCCTTTTTCGCGGAATCCTCATTCGCTCTTGATTATAATGATCCCCAAGAGCCTCAAAGTTAGTAGCTCTTGCACTTTTTAGTCATTTAAGCCATTTGAATATTGCTTTTTATCTTTTAAACATAATATTATTATCGCTTATTATTATTAAGAAAAAGTGACAATTATTACAAGTCGTCATTCAATCTTACTTTCCATTATTGGTCATTCTTTTCCTGATGAAAACGGGTTATATATATTATTATATTATGAAATTAAATATTTAACAGTGAATAATAAAAAAATATATTTGTTAATTTGAGTAATATAGAGGACCCAGAGCTTAACAATTTATTCAAACAATTGTAAAGTTATCACAGCGAAATAACACCTTATGAGATTATAAAATAATGTGCAGTAACATTACTAACCAAAAGTTTCTTACAATAAAAGGACTTTTCTGTTACTAGGTTCGAGATGTTTTATTTAAAAAATAAAATAAGAAATTTTTAACCAAAGCGCATATTAAGTACGAGTGTTTCTAATACAGAAAGAGGCAAGATTGTGAAATGTAGAGTAGATTATTATAAATGTTCTATAAATACACATTTATATATTTTTGGAAAGCACAAAAAATAACACTACTACATTTGAAAAATAAAAAGTTACAAGTTATCGCAGCCTTACTTTATAAATAGTTTAAATAATTTAAAGTAACTAATTATAGAAATTCTACTTTATTTTTAAAGTTTTTAAAGGAATCCTTTTAAGATTTATTGAAATTAATATTATTAAGGCCTCTGGTTTTAACTTTCATGTTAACACTTAAGTATATAAATAGTAGGAAAACTAAACTTTGTTAAATATCTTTAAAAACTTTGAAAACAACCAACCGCTATTTTCAAGATTTTCCTGAAACATTGAATAACTTATCCTTTATTTGTCAGGCTTACTAAAATAATAGAAAATATACAGGAACGTTTTCAGTTGGACATGCAAAACCAGTTCACTGCCTTTTTTGAAGAGCAGTATATTAATACCGACATATGTTCCCGTATTCACTATTGTTTTTATATAATAGAGCTTTCAGAACCCCTGGAAAAGTAAATTATATTAAATATCTCTACTACCATTATTTTAAACTCTTTATCTATTAATCTTGATATTATTAATATTTACAACTTTATTCAGGACTATTCTGGCAGAAATTAGTATATTGGCGGCCTCAGTCTATATTATACCGCTTTTCTACAGTTCTGGTGCCTTGGAAGGGGAAACTCTTTATTCGAAAGCCAACGCGATTTATGAGGAGGTTTTACTTTATTAAAACTTTTTTTACTCAATATAAAGGAAATATAATTGAGGAATATAAACTATTATAAAAAGAAAATAAAAGCATTGATTTAGACTATTAATAATAAAGTTTTTTTCATTCTCTTCCTCAATTGTATATTAGTTAATTCAGTCCGGCGCAACTATTTTTCAAGTTCCTTTGGTAAGTTATATATATATATTGTAAAAAAAATATCTTATAATGGTAGCTGAATATTTTTAGTTAAAGTTTTATTTATGTATCTTGCTTTATTAGAGTGTATAGTAAGTTATTTAATTATTCACTTTCTTTTATTTACCGTCTCATACAGAGTCCTGTTATTGTTTTCCAAGACGAAAATGCTCAGTTTGTTATATACAACGAAGGTTTATTAATATTCCCTCCCCTAAATTTATTTTTCAACTAATGTAACACACATGTGCAGAAACTTTTGCGGAAAACATAGTAGAAAAGATTATCGGGTCTTTCCATTATATAAAAATACTCTAAAGTTACTCAAATATTTAACAGGAAAGAAAACATACTGCATTATAAAGATATTTTTTATGAAAAATACAGGAAGGAAAATATCTACAAGTTAAAATTTGTTGTATATATGAAGTTTTGTTAATAGCTCCTGTTAGAAAGTTATAATTAAATCTAAATATTGTTTTCTGTGGGATTACTTTTTTTAATAACGTTTAAAAAGAACTATTTTACAACTAACAATTTTTCTTTTAAAGGTATTCGGTAAAGCTTTTACCATCTGCTAAAAAGGAACTCAAAGAAAAAATGGAACAACTCCGGCGAGGTAATACTAATGTACACATATACTCTCTTTATTCATTAATATTTTCTTTCCTGCAGATGCTCTTACATGTCTGGAGGCGGCCGCCGCGGTGCCATTAATTCGAGAAGAGCTTGAAGAGGCCGAGCGCACCTTTGCATCCCTTTCCAGAAGCTCCTTCGGCTCGCTTGAGGAAGACGCGGACATGTGGAGCTCAGCGTCCAATCCCAGCTTAAAAAGCTTAAAATTATGATTACTATTTCTGTAACGTTTATTTCGACGAATTTTTTTTTTTTAAAATAATAAGCTATAGTTTATATTCGGAGTGTATGTAATTTTAGAGGCGAGTGTGGGGGATCTAAAAGATGATTGGTTCAAAATTATTAATTAGATAAATTTTTAACGAGTCAAATTCCACTTTTTACAGGTCGCGCATTTATTAGAGGTTTTCTTGAAATATAAGAGTACAACAAGTAGTTGTTTAGAATACTAATATACAAGAAGACTAGCGATAAACGACGATGATAAGCTCATGGAAACAGTATCCCAGGGGGTAGTGTAGAAGAGACGGCTGTTTGAATATGGAGTAAAAAGAGATTACGAAAATAATGATGGCTCTTCTATGGTTTACTTGCAACAACCATATAGCCGTAAAGTGAGTACTTTGGATTTCACTGCATTAGAGGCTAACACATCGAAGCGCATTAAGTTAATCATGCCGAGTGTGTAGTTGAGTAGTTATTGATCTTTAAAAAAGATTTCGGTCAATCGAAGGGCCAGGAGTAGGGCTACATTTAGGGTTCATAATTTCTATTGATAATGTTAAGACCCAGAATACTTTATTATTAAAGGTGGAAACCAAGTTAACAGGATACCACAGCCTTATGAGAAACAACTGACAACTATAAAAGGCTATTGGTATACGTATAGTTATAATAATGCCTCTTTCTTATATAGCCAAACACATTTTGCGTATAATTTTTTCCTATATAAATGTCCTCTAAAGGGGTTTTAACAAAATTTTTTATTAACCGGAATTGTAAGGTGCATACATTATAGCAACTCTCTAAAACAGTAGTATCAGGAAAGGGAAATAATTTAGTATTAAAAGGGGCGGGGGGCCAATGCTGTTTAAGCACAAAGAAATTTTTATAAAGGAAAAGAAGAAATAAACTTTTTATATAGTAAATATGGGCTTCAAAAAATATATACGAACTTTTTTTAAATAATTTTAAATTGCCGACTTATAGAAGTGATGTTTCGAAGTCTAACCAATCCATTCCATCCGCCGTATGCAAACCAGCTTTTGTCCGTCATACTCGGACAGTATTTCACCTTATTAATATAGTCATAATGAGTATTTATAAAAATAGAAACGTTGACAATAGCCTTATTAACAATAATATAAATATTATACTTTGTGAAGTGCCACGAAAACAGGCGGGATTGCTTGTGGTTCTTGTTGCTCTCGCATGTGCTTTTTCTTAAGAGTTATAAAGAAAAAACATTAAGACCCACAGAATTGAAAGTTAAAGGGTGTACAGTTGATTAAGTTACTTGAATAAGTATTAGAAAAAAAGACGGAGTTCTCTTTTTACCACTTTTGGCTGGTTAACGTAGGGTTCCGACCAATCAGAGAATATGTACAAGATGTCCGTAGCACGCCAAGAATTGGATAATAAAGTTTTAACTCCTGGCCATAATTTTTCTTGAGACTCGCAGTTTTGAGGCGAATTTGAGTTGTTACTCAAGTAGGCAGTTGTACTTGAACAATAGGGGAAGGGCTAGAAATTTAAAGTTATTAATAACAATACGCAATTTACTATTAGTGTTTATCCATTAAGCTTATACATAGAATATATATAATTACTATATTTCTGGAACGAATATACGTCATAAATAGTTCCCCGCCTAAATATAATGTGAAATAACTAAATGTTGTAACATATTCAGCCCAAGAAAACCTTCTGAACAACAAAGAATAACGAAAGGTTCCGTTTTAAGGAGGGGCGGGAAGCTAATGCCCTAAAAACGTAAGTAATAAAAAGAAGGGAAGTGTGCGGATATACGACTATATATTACTCTCAGTACTTCCTTTCCTTCTACGATTTTTAATGCTTTTTTTAATAAGAGGCTAATAAAAAGGACTCTTCCATCGGAGAGCGAGCATAAAGGCCCTATAAACGATTGCAGTGATATAGTGATTCATAAATTGTTTAATATTACAAAAACCACAATAATTTTTATAGTTATGCAGAGCGACCCTTCTTAACCAAATATTATAAACGTTTTTTTTACTAATAATTTCTACGAATTACGTGATAAAACTGTTTGAGGTGCGAGGGTAAATTTTATGAGTTGACTAAAACTAATAACATACTCTTCGGGTTAAAAACCAAAAGTTTTACGAGAATCTTACAAGGTACAACTAGAAAAGTTAGTACAATATAAAAGTGGCGCCTTTATAATTAGTAAGAGCCTTTTACTGGTAATAGCCTAATGAAACTACGATTTCTTCAAGGTGAGAGAACCATGCATATCTATTCTGATAAAAAGTGACACAAAACTCGAAAAGTTCGGCAAGGAGAACGGCTGGCATGCCGTAAGTTTTCTTACTATGGGCTAAGTATAATGGAATATATATAGTTTAGGGTCTCTCCCCCACCCATATTGACGCGTTTTATATATTGTTATCGTTAAAGGTTGCCACCACCTCCTCAGTTAACTACATACAAACAGCAAGTGTATTGAAAGTGGCTTATCAATTATTGAGAGCCTTTAAGGTTAGCGCTGTGTGACTTCAAAGCCAACTAACTATTTCATATATGTATCTTGCACCCGATATAACATTAGTATATCAAAGTTTAATAAAGCTCCTTAGTTCTTCCTCATTACTTTATAAATACTAATTTTTTTTAAAAATAAGCATGACAATTCTATTGACAAGACGAACTATGGTCGGATTGATAATTTCTTTAAAAAACTTCCTTATTGGTTTTACTAGAAATATTAATAACAACAGATTGCTATTAACAAACATAAATTTTCCTTAAAGGATGTTAGAATTCTTAATCTTAAGAGAATTATTATCAAAGGTTGTTTAAAACAAGGACTTTTACTTTCGATAACCAATTGAATGCACCTAATTTTTGAACTAGCTACGAATTCGGCTAAAAAGGCGCAGAACATAACATTTTTTAAAGTAAACAACCTTTAACAAAACGTTCATAAAACTACTTTAAAAAAGAGCATAGCAATCCTGCAATGTTCCGCCGTATATATACCGTAAATTTTACCAGTAATTTTTTTTTTTTACTTATATAAATATTTGAATTACAATACTTGCCGGAGCAGTTACAACAAATTTAAAAAGACATGTACACATATGTTAAGCACTATTTTTTTTAAAAAAATATTTTTATAAATAATAACCTTTGATATTTTTGGACCAAATGCAGTCGTATATTTGCGCTATGAAAAATTAAACAAAATTTTATACATATTATATATATTGTTAGTTATATAACAATTAATCAGCATCTGAATGAGTGATTTAATGTACAAATAAATACTCTAAAATTTCATAAAAATATAATAATACGTAAACTATTTTTAAGGGCTATCTTATTCACTTTTTTGAATGTTTACTCAAGTAAACTCGAAAATATAAACCATTTCCAAAGTCATGACGGAAAAGAGGAAAAGAGACGTCACGCACATCCTAAAAAATAAAGATAGTAAATATTTGGAAATTACTCAAGTAATACGTTTTATACTAAAAAAGTAAAAATGGTTCGCTAGAGAAGTAACAAAGAAAACGATCCAGTAAAAAGACATTCGCTCAAAGCAACAAAGAAAAGAAAATAATTTCTATGTAAACAGCGCTACCCATACGAGCAAACTACCGTCGACCCCAGCACTCAAGAGTAAGTGTTCAGTCATTTCGCAATAGCAAAGCTGAAAAATCATAGCATAATTGATTACTTTAAAAAATGGAGGTTCAAAATTAAAGCACAACGTTAAATGTTATAATGAAATGAAAAAGTGAGCGGCGTAAGAAACTTTAAAAGCGGCTACTCCTCCTTGTCGACCTATTAAACGCCCGACTACGCACCTATCGCAGTTCATCCTTTTATATTCGGAATACCGTAGATTAATCGCTATCGAACCACATGAAAATAGTTAAACGCTGCATGTGCTTTCTTTCTAGGAAAAAAGGATAGAAGGTCTTATAAGCTTATTGAGCACCAAGAAAAACCAGTGAAAAGACACATAATACTAAAATATCCAATGAGCAAAGCTAAATGTGGCCGTACAAACTTAAAAGGTTTATTTAAGTCTGTATTACAACGCTTTTTAGGATAAATATGAAAATTATTAAAAATGATAACAGTACTTACGCAGGTGACAGGGCCTTCATGAGCGTACCACCTCATAAAAACAGCGTTGTTGCCTACAGTAAAGCATGTTATTACCGCTTCGCTAATACGTAGTAAGTATCATAGTTATTTTCACCTTTCAATTAAATTACTGTTATAAGAGACGCAGGAATACATAAAATAGAAAGCCAGCAAACTCACTAAATGCATTGCTATAATGGCAATATTACCATTTTAAGCGGTTGTAAAAGGAATAAAAATACCATTGAAGTATACTAAGTAAATGTAAAACATGTTCAAGAAATACACAAAAATATTGTATAAGAAGTAAAGTAACGCGACAGCCAATAAATATAGCGTTAAAAAATGTTAAATATAAGTACCGTCTGTGTCCTCCATAGACACATCAAAAATAGTGATTATCCCTAGTTATTATGTTTATGTTTACGGTAATTACTAATATCATCAAAACGTTGTCTTAAGAAATTTAAGGTTAATAAAAACAATGATTATAGAGTGTATAATATTTAAATTACATATTGTATTGAAAGGAATTAATACCGTTATCCGTTCCCACTGCAATATTTATGAAAGTTGGAACTGACTTCCAGGCAAGTGAACTGCAATAGGCGCCTTCATGAATGTTATACACGCGAAGAGGCGGCAAAGAGAGAACTGCATTAAAGAAAGAGAATATTAATCCAACACTTGGGGGGTGGCCGAAACACTAATGATAAATTTATGCGCGTAAAATAATTTCTTCATTCTATTGTAAAGTCGTACACGATCTACTACATTATGCTGATTCATTAAAAAGTACATGTCAAAGTCAAGTTTGCCGAGTTTAAACGATCAGGATGGGGAACATGGTATAAACAAAGCACCGGGCTAGAAAAACATACCGCGAGGATGCCTAGCTGTTAAAAAAACCAATAAACTCTGCTCGTTTATAGAGAAAAGCAATATTCATTAAAACAAAGATTCCTTGTTATAAATAGGGTATAAGTAAAAGGTACAGACATCAAAATAAGTGCTTATTTTCCCTCCAAAGTTACTAAACTGCGCTTGGCGCCAATAATATCATTGCGAATATTTTAGTAGATAGCAGTGAACAAGTTGTTTAGTAAATAGATAAAAAAAAATAGTAGCAAAACTAAAAAAAAGGTTTTCTGCTAAGTTAATAAACTTAATAAAAAAAACCAATATGATGTTGATAATCGCAAAAAGTCAAAAACAGTTGTACTAAAATGATGGCGCGTTTCGCATGTATTTATTATTATTATTATACTCTCTTCAATTGTCTATTAAAACTTCCGGGGCACCAATTCATACAAGAGATCAGTCCGTTATAAGTCACGAGGCCAAGTCGCATAACAATAGCATTTCTTCTTTAATAAAAGTAAATATGTAATAATATATAAATAGTTCAAATTTAATAAATATATTATAAATATTTTAGTCGTGATAAAATATTAAATAAAATTTAAAATATTTCTTTTTAATAATTTTTTTTAATATTACTTGCATTTCTAGTGGTTCTTGTTTGGTTTCTAGTATATATACACTTTTACTTTTCTCTAATAATTTTTTTCATAAGAATTAAATAGAAGTAATGAAATATTATAAACCTCCTCAAACTATATAGATATGATGTTTTCAGTAGTATTTAAGAAGGAAATGCCTAATATGTTAGAGTTACAGTATATGAAAGTTTGCTTGATAACACTATTATTACTAGATTAATATTGATGTGTATATTGGAAGTACAAACATTAGGAAAAAATAGGCAACCTTATAGCAGAGAAGTCGCATTCCCATAACTGAATCAAAGCACATTTATATATATTTTTAGCATTAGAAAGTCGGGAACATTCTTCCGTGCGTGCTGCAATGGTCAAATATTGCTTTTCTCCAACTGTATTATAATAATGTAACTAATTAAAAAAAAGGATTGTAACGAGTTCACGGCGCTTATAATTTAATACTCCAGTAATGTAATCATTAAACCATTCATTGCTTTAAATAAGAGTCGATTTAGGTAATAGCTATACTTAAAAAAAAGGGCGTAAAGCGCCAAATTTGCTATATAAGTAAAGCGTTGCATTAAAAAAAAAAATAAAGTGTAGCATACCGGGGATGTTGGGCACCCACTCCATGCACCAAACAGGACCTCCTGTTTCCAAAACTATTCCCTGTTCTATAACGAAAGAAAACAAATTTATAAGAAAAAAATTTCTCCCCCAATAGTTGGGGTGGTGCGTGAAAACTTTATTTGCTAAAAAAGCGGGTTATTTATTAATTATAAAATAAGTTTGGGTTTCGCAGGAATTTCAATAAAGTTTTAATAAAAACCTCAACAAGTTTATGAGAATAGCCACGCATGATAAACAAGAATTTTTTTTTTCATAGCCAATGTATAAATAGAAGGTAAAGTATATAAGGAACTCTACTTTTTTTTGCAATAATAAACGCACAAAGGCACTTTAAGAACGCAAAGTCTTATATTATAATTATAAAGAAAAATACATGCAGGTTATAAGACAATTAGACAAAAAATAATTAACGTAGGAAAAGATGCAATCCTTTTTCACAGGTATATTCAAAAAATCAAAAAAGCGATTTTAGATTAAATTTTAAAAAAATAAGTTTAGTTATTTATAAATATTAAAAAAAACACCTAAAAATAAGAATTAAAAAATCAATAGCTAAAAAAAAGTTTACATGCTATATATTTTATAATAATCAAAAACAATAAAATTTTATAATTCTTATATTAAAAGTTTTATTATATAAAAATAAATAGATATTTTTAAAGCAATAATACGGCGATGCTAATTAACAAGATCCTGCCAATTAGTTCACAGAATTTATAACTGCCAAAAGTCAGAAAGTAAATAGAGGGGAGAAAGTGGCCAAAATATTTACCTCAAATAAAATAATAAAAAGACAATAATAACTTTACTTAATGGAAGCTGAATAATAACAGTAACCGGTGTAAAATAAACTTAAAGAGTTAATAAGCAAATAAAAAGAAAAAAGAATAGTCGAAAAGCTTTAAAATAACTTAATTTAATGTATAAATAATATAAACAGGATAAAAAAAATTTGAAGTACAAATAACTTTAAAAAAATACACTAGAGTTTAAAAAGAAACCTTCACCAAAAAATTTGCTTTTTAATGAAGGTAATCGATGGATTTCATCAGCGTTAGAAAAACAAAACTTTGGCGAACTTTGGCGAAGACACTCTAAAGCAGCGCTAGCATATGAAAAACGCAGAAAGTTGGTATTACACAAGTAAATAATAAGACGAGTAACAGTGTAATAATATTTATTATTCTCTTTTTATAGTTTTCATAGAAATACACAAATAACATGATACCAATTGTTTAAAACATCGTAATTTATAACACTCTCTGGCCATTCAAAAAAGTGTTCAGGCCTTGTTAAAAGTATAAAAGTAAGCAAACAAAAAAATAATATAACACCTAAATTTTGACTCTATATAAAGTTTTCATATTCCCCAATTTTTAATTAATAAAGATAAAGAAAACCTGTTTAATAAAGGGACAAGAAAAGAGGGTCCTTTAAATCGGCTTCTTGTGAAAGTTCCTTTCACAACTTCTATTAAATATTTACTTACTTACATAAAAATATCAAGCTTATATGCTCTTTAGTTATAATAAATTATCATAATATATATATTTACAGTTTTCAATGGTTTTTTTTATTTTTATCAAAAAGCACGTTATGTAAATTACGATTGGCAAGCACATGCTTCTGTAACACATGGCTAACAAAACTTTGGATGTTCTTCCATTTTCTCGTTACTGCACCACCACTTTCACATATTTCGCCTCATAAAAATAAAAGATATATGCTATACCCTTCTAAAGGGAAAATAAGGAAAAAATAATCAGTTATGATAAGTTCATAACTTTTAAGGAAAAAGGACAAGACTCTACGACTTTATTTTAATTATTATAAATAAAAAATAATTTCCGCTACAGTATTTTTTTTAATAATGATAAGAATAATATTAATAACATACAAGTAAACATATTGTCCTCTCCTTTCTGTTTATGCGCTCTAATGTGTCTATAATATATATAAAATTCAGAAAAGCATAAGCAGCGTAAAAAGGTTAGACTATAAAAAATTACTATTAGTTTATTATATAGTAATAAATAAATATAAATATTTTATAGAGTTTCAAATAAAAAATTTTTTCTTGTAATCTAATAATACTTACTCAACAACGTTCTTTTTGTGTGGAAAAAAAATATTTTTTTAAGTCAAAGTGAGCTAATTATTTCCATCACGTAGTTTCAATGTCTAATTTATCCTAAAGGCACTCCGTTAAAACAATCTTTCAAACTATTACACCATTTTTATAAAATAGTATAACAAAAAAGGTCTTAAAGCAAACCCTACAACTATTTATGTAGGAAGCTGAGTATTAATTACAACAAAAGAGAAGCAACTGAAAGTGACCCACATAGTAAAGCTGACTTTAAAAGACTTTAGATAATAACCTCCGAAGTAAATTGTGTTCTCCGTTCATAACACACTCTGAAAAAGGGCACTAAAACAAAAAGATTTATAAAAAAAAAACCAAGATAAAAACAAGAAATAAACAATACGACAAAAATAATAGAGTAAACGAAAAGAATAAAAACGTATATAGGGAAGGACTTTATAAACTGGACCGATTGAATCGAAATTACTTTTTTCCTCGTCAACTCCTTTAGTTCCTATATAGCAACGGTAATAGTTTTAGAAATATTATGGCACAAGTAGAAAAGATATAGTTAGGCAAAAAACTAATAAATACAATCTTTTAAATTGTTTATAACCTATTTCCTTTAATTCCTTAGAGATACAACCTTTTTTTCTGGGGCGCTTAAAACTGTGGAGTTGAGAGGAATTTTTGGCTACACCCTCCTTAAAAGTTAGTATATTATGCTAAGAGAAAAATGAGAATAAAGGTAACAAGCCTACCTCAGTCAGTTGGGAGCACTTAGATTTAACTCCTATTACTCTTTTTTGAACCTTAGTATCGCCTATTTAAAACTTATTATTATATGATTTTGTACAACAATACGACAATACCTTTCCTGAATGCTTTATTGCCAACTACGTTAACTGTTTCCTTCACTTCTCCCTTTTTACTTTTGTTTGGATTATTACTATAAAACTTTCTTTTTTTTCGAATAGTCAATAATTTTTTACATGCTTTTTTTCTTTTATACGGCTTTTCATTTAGTAAAGAGTTAATCTCGAAGTTTTTCTTTCTCTTAAAAAAACCTTGTTTGTTTAACTTATCAGCAAGAGGGCCGATGTCATCACGTTGAAAGGCCGTTAAAATATCTTTCTTATTATGTTCTACTTTTTTTTTTGGCTTTTCACGGTTATCCTTTTCAAAAAATAAATCTGCCTCAGAATTAAACGTAAAAGTTTTAAGTAAGGTTTCAAGGTTTTTTCTTCTTTCTTTTTTAACTTTTTTAATTTTGGTGAGTAGCAAACGGAGTTTTCCTTCCAACCTTTTTAGTTTCTTTTCGCATTCGAATTTTGAAGATAGAACAATTCGTGTTTTTTTTTATTAGCCTTTGGCTTCATTTGCATTTAAAAGTAAGAGGTCATCAAGTATAAAGCTCACATCCTCGGAGCGAGGAACGCGTAGCCGGCTGAGTGTTTAGTGCGGCTCACGCGGGTTGGGGCCTGGTTCGAGTCCCTGGCGTTCCTTTTTTTCTAGGGCGGAGGAAAGATTCATTGCACAAAACTAATATACATGAGCTCTTAGCTTTAGCAGTTTCTTTTAAAGAGCAACTGTATTCAATAAATGTTCTATATTATCGGTGGATCGATGGTTGCATATGAAATATAGTTTTCCAATTAAAGATGTATGTTGACTTAGGCAAAGTTTTCGTCTCCAGTCATATTTTTTAACATTAAAGATTAATATAGATTTTCCTTTTCTTTAAGTGGTATTAAGAACAACCTTACCCTTAGCAGTTTGTGCTCAACGTACGGATTGTTCTTAACTGACAGCTAACCTTGCATTATAGCAGAGCAGAACACCCAGATACCCTAAAATATATAACTGACTGCGGTATCGTTATCACTAAATATTTTTACACAAAAATAAAAAACTGTAGCAGTCATTACGAAAGCAATAAAAATGGAACCTAGACAGTATATTAGAGGAAGCAAAATTACGAATGAACATGCAAAATTTTCATGGTAGATAGTTTTCTTAGATACCGCAAACTCTCTTTTTTTTGACAGGCAATATATTATTTTTGGTCTGGTTTTAATTTTCAAAGGTTGTCAAGATACTTTCAAATTTTTAAAAGTCTGTCTTCTGTTAATTTTGTCTACACGGTTGAGAGTGGTTTATTATTTTTAATTATTTAATTTTAAAAATAAGTTTTCTTAAATTTAAGCTATGCATATTATCTGGATCTAAAATAGTTCGCTTCCTCTTTTAGATTAACATAAACTCTCTATCATGAGGTCAAGCTAGTGTATTGGCACATGACTGCGGGGGCGTAGACTTATTTTCTTAATTTTTTATAGCCCTTTTAATTTTTACAATTTCTGAAGAACCTCTCCACAATTGACATAAAAAGAAGTAGAAATATTAATACCTATTGTTTTTTTAAATCTTTAAAAAAAAAGTAACTTTTCTTTTTACCTCTTCAACTAATAAACATTTTTCTTATTTAAAAAAAATATTAAGGTGAGTAAAAAGCTATCAAATATTTTCATCCAGGTAATAATGTTATCTTCCAAATGCTTATACTTTAAATAATATTCTTGATTTTTTAATATTAGCACTTTTACTGAAGCTTTTTACATTTAATAGTTCCTCTAAACCTACATGGACATAATGGATCGAAAAATATTTTAATTTCGAAAATATTCTAATATTTTTATAATAAAAAGAAAACCTCTCGTTTCATAACCTTACTCTTTGAGATACATCACTTTTACTTAATAGTAATAAACATCCCGGTCGCCACCTTAAATTTTTTATAAATTAGGATTTGATAAAAATGTATTTTATGATAATTTGTAATTTTTTTTAACAGAGCAGGCTTACTTTTGCTTCGGTACCAGACAAACTCGGTTAAAGTAGAAAGTAAAGTATATGGCCCTAGCTCATTCTTAAATGACGTTTAAGTATGCTAAAATACTTTAAAAAACATGTGTAACTTATTAGGAAATAGAATTATAACAATATACCAATTACTCATCATACTACCTACGAGCAATACTTTGACAGCAAGCGGACATGGAAAACTTAAATTCAGATCCCCCAGTCCACCTAGACCCTAACCTAGTTTTTACAGTGGATAATCCAAAAATAGAACTTACTTAATGTACATAGACTGCGTACTAATAGTATTACTCCACATCACTCATTACCACAACTGTCATGACCTTTCCGTACGCAATTACTCACCAAAACCCGTTGTATTTTAACAACCTAGCCTCCGATCCCACCAAGTTAATAGAATGTGCTTAATCGGAAGTGTAAGCGCTAAGATCAAGGAGCAGAATATCGATAGAGGCGGCCTATGAGGGTTCAGCTAGGAACTTTTACACTTCTTAATGCTCCCGGCAAGGGAGTCGATTTTTGGACCCCAAACGAATCACCTTTTAAATTACTGTTGTCTATCACAGATTTTAACATATTTAATATCTTTTAGAACCTGAAGCGCAATGCAACTGCTAACAATAACATGTGTTACTCTCCGCGGTTCCTGTCATGCCCTGAGTCCTTAGTTAAAGCATGGTAACCAAATTATAGGCCTATGTTGGCATCAATCGGGTGAAAAAGAGCTTACTCTGTTGTTTCAATTCAAGATATAAAAACACATGTTTATATTTAGGATACGAAGTAGCACAGTAATGATTAGAACATGGCTTAATCTAAAAATATTCCCAAGAAGGGCATCCACACCCCGAACCATGTTCAACGAAACTCAAAATGCATGATCAGTCAGCGAATCAGTAACAGATCCATAGAATTTAACTCTAGTCCGATCCTGCTCGAAAACGTACGATCCTTTTTAGGCTACAAAAAAAATTGCTACCTACTAAGATAGAATGCTGCCAGTAAGAGATGCAGGTGCACTACTTACAGGAGAATAAAAAAAGGAGTTTCATTAGCAGAGATGAATTGTAGTGGTTCAAACTCTTGCCTTGTTGCAACTGTTTCCCTAAGGCGATCCAGCCCAGAGACTTTGAAATTGAGTTTATCACTGTTATTTTACTGCCAAACTTGAAAGCCCAAGCTAGCAAGGAGGTGATGTTCTACACCCCCAACTGCCATTGACAAAACTTAAGCAGAGGTATGTAGTAAGTTATTAAAGCCCTACACCCGTACGGACGGTCAAAAGTACTTAGACATGGTGAACCTTGGTAGGCGGTAGGTAACTGATTTATGCGTTGCGGAATATTTTATAAGCTACTTTATTCTATAAAAGGAAAGAAATTTTGTACGGTAGTTTACCAGAGAGATAATTAATTTTTGTTTCTGTAGCCCTTACGAAACACTGATTGTTAATAATTTAAGCTCCTTCTGTTTATCAGACAGGATTATATAGGGAAGTTGGTTCCTTATTTCTGTTCGGTTATTGCACAAACCTTATGCACGTTAGATTTATTCGTATGTTGGCCGACTTTCTTTAAAAGTATACTAGTTAAGTAATATGTTAGTAAACTATCTTAATAAAGATTGGCACTAACGGGTCGGTTTGTCTATGACTCGAGTTCACAAGATTTGCAATAAAAAATTAAAGAGGAGCCCAAGGGGTGTTAACTTTACTAAGTGAGTTTACTTTCTAATTAAAACATTGATATTACTACATCAGATTAGACCTTGTTCTAAAGTCAACCGAAGGTCTAAAGCACAACAAGAGCTAAACAAATGAGAAACCAATAAAAAGCTAAGATAGTAATATAGTTAGACACAGATACATTAGGAATTTTTTGTCTCAAATTAGTTTTTAACTTAGAAAGTGTACGCCTAGAAGTCTATGATCAAGACAAGTCAGGGCCATCTTATCTAAGGCCAAAGTAAATAAGGCCCTGAAGTCCGAGCAAGTTGGTTTAGGGCGAGCACAAAACTAGCAGGTGCGCTGCAAATTTAATAACCAGGAAATATAAAGGGAACTATTCAGAAGAACAACTACAATCTATACCGTTAACTGACAAAAAATGAGTTTTACTAATAGCAATACGTCCAGTCATTTCAAAATAGATGCCAGACAGGGCGGGCTGCCCGTGATTAAAACCATTAGCTACAAGAGTCCCTTAGCAATCTTTAGTATCGTTGCCAAATTTGTTGTCAATATATTAAGAAAATGCCATAGTTTTGGTTGCTGTTGCTGTTACTGCGGTTGCTTAGAAAATGTTTTTGTGCCAGGCAAGAGGCCTACAAGAACGTTGGGGTCGCCTTAGGAAAAGTGATTTTTCAGGCGGCGGTACATTAGTTTACTGTATAGGTCTGGTCGCAATTGGCACGCTTAGCTGCGAAAACATAAGATTTATACACTGTGTTGTGAAGTTACACAGAAGGAGGAAGAGCGCAGAAGCTTGCTCTAAGCTCAAAGACCTGACAACAGAGTCGTTGCCTTTCTGCAGTAACTTTTGCGCAGTTTATCGTTTGGACGTGCAAGTGAAAGACAGTCGTTCAGTTTTTAAAAGTTTTGTCGGGCCCCTTTGGGTTTTGTGAATAAGAGCGACGGTAACATACCGCTTAATACATTTCATTGTAGTTGCCTTCTTTCAAATTTTCTTTATATGGAGGAACATGATACCTTAAAGCGCTCAAGTTGGCTATGAGGGTTTAGAGATTGCAATAGCTTTCCAACTCTAAAATTAGAGACTTATCCTCCGGTGGTGGGTAGGTAAAGTACATGATTGCTTAGCCGCGCATGTGCCATAATGGCGCGATATTCTTAGCCGTTGCTAAAAAGCTTTTAATTTTTTGACGTCTGTTTTTTAAAATAGAAAGTTGCGCACCGTTAATTAACTAGAGTAACAAGTTAAATACGTAAAGCCAAAAGTATCGTCGTAGCTTAGCGGTTAAGGATATTTACGCGCATACTCAAGTCATTTCGGCTTTTGATGGTTGCGTAATGAACCTAGCCTTTGTTAGCTCTAATAAAGAGTTTCACCAAGTATTGGACACCCACGCTTCACAAAGAAAGAGATTAGCATGACTTTTTCTTAAGAAATTGTGATGCTGCGACAAGCGGTTTAAAGGTGTTCTCAATAGTATGTCCTTAGTAACTTTCGAAGAAATGTGATTGGGTCATCATAGTTTTATGCTATTTCCAAGTGTTTTTAGTACTAGTTTTGTCTTATGTTTCTTTTTAATTAGGAGAAGCAAACAGTTTTAAGACAAAGGAGCGCAAAAATAGGAGATAATCTCTTTTTTTTTTATTGTGTTTGTTTTTACATATATAAGGCCTGCTAGCGCATCACTTAGAAATTTTATTTATGCATTCCATGGCTATTTATGGACTTAATTTTATTAATGCGTGGTTAACAATAAGCTCGCATTTTGGGCCCTTACCACCGGTTACTGAGGAATTCTAAAAAAAAAAATACAATTAATACAATTAGTGTCGAAGCTAATTTTTTACTTGTCACAAAGGTGTCATTATTATATTTATTTCTACTACTATGATGAGTAAGTAAGCAGGTTATGTGGGTAAAAAAATTAGTTAGCGAGGTCACATAAACTTGGCTAATAATCTTGCGTATAGGATTGTTTTTCATGTCTAATTTTTACTGTATATGTTAAATTAAAAGTTATATTACAGACATTAATTTTTCACATACTAAATTATGTTCAAATTTAATATTTGGTGTTTTATATTGTAATAAACAATTTGGAAATTTCTTAAAATTCTTCAGCTACCTAACAACAGCAGTGTTTCATGGCAATCATCTTGTATTAGCGTTATTTATATACGTTGCATTTAACTTTTATTGAACTAATTATATAAAAATCTTTTTATGATTCCATTCTGACTGGTTTTACTGACAAGTTGTTTTAAACTTTGCCATGTTATCAATTAGAAACTGGTTTTAAAATTTATCGGTCCTATGTTTTCTGTATATGTTTAATATCGTAGTTTTGGCGTTGTTGATAAGTGGTACTCTTTTTAATGAAGTAAGTATATTCGTTATCGTCTGCAACAGAAGAACAGGTTATAAGCATTTGGTAACAAAACATTGGCATTTCTACAGACTAATGATTAAATTTTCATTATAAAGGAGAGCTAACCTTGGCTGGGGAGGAACGGGGGTAAGAAGAGGGGACATGCAAAATAAAATCACCAATCACCGGGTACTGCTTCTTTTAGGTAATACAGCAGTGAACAAATTTCATATTTTTTCAAAAGAAGGCGTTTTGAATTTGGTTATAAAGTTGAAATACGGGGTTTTTTGCTCTTTTATATCTTTTTTAATACATTCCTTTTTAACTATAAATGGAATCTTCTAAGGAATTAGTTGATGGTGACTGTTATTTTTATTGATTCAAGGACAGTTTGTTTATACTGATATTGTTTATGTAATTGTTTAGCGAATGAATTGTTTTTAAAAGAAGATTTAGAAACTTTTTCTGTGGATTCAGAAAATTTTAGTTCACCTGCTTTTCACAGTGGACTTGACCAACTTGACCTGTTTCAAGAGAGCCTAGACCTTTTTGAAAGCTCTGTTGCTCCTAGTGTTTCAAATACTTTATCCGAAAGTAATATGGAATGCTCAAATTTAACTTCGAGAGGTGGAAATATATCATATATATATATTTAGTCATAAAATAACACTTATAAAACAAGGTAGTACTGTTATAGACGAAGAGATTGATACCCACCAAATAGATTTAGTAGAATCCGTCTCGGAGGTCGATTCATCCAAAAATAAGGATTTTGAAAACTCGAGTAAGGTAGATAAAGTTGAGGAAGCTTCAAAGAGGTTGCTTATAAGAAAACTTTGAAATATTTTAAGTTTAATTACGTTTTTATGAAAAAATAGCACTATTATTTAGGTCAAGTACTTTTTATTAAAAATTAATTTTTACGAGTTTATATATATTATCATTTACATTTATAATATTATATAATAATGTGCTTAATTTAGCTAGTTATTATCTTATTTCAACTATATTTGAGATTTATATCCTTGTAGATTTTCCTATTTACCTATATTTTTGCCTTCCGTGCATTTAGTAATTTTTATTTTTTTGCTTAAATAAAAAATAAAGTAATCTTTTTTTAAATTTTACTCTAAAAATTGCATTATACATAAACGTCATTTTTCTATGACTTTTTTAATTGTATACTACATCTACTTAGCGTAAGCATTTAATGTTCAGCGTTAGTGTTGTAGTTTTCTATAGATTAAATTATTTGTGTTATTATATTTAAGGACTAATAAACTAAAATTTATCGCTAACTCTTCACTACTTTAGGTTGATTTCGGTTTTTGAAAGTGAAGATTCTGAAGATGACTTTGAAAGTAAAAAGGAACAGGAAGTTTTGAAAAGCGAAAGCGAAGATGAAAAGCAAGATGATATGCTTCAGGATGAAGTGAGCGATGCGGAAGTAGAGGAAAGTATTCGTGAGAGTGAAAGAAAGAGATTAATAAAGTATTTTTTCAATTTTTTTGTTAAAGTACATGTTTTGAACAAAATGTTATTAATTTTCATTTTCAAAATTCAGATAAAATTTATATGTTGTAACAAGATTATTTATATGCTAAATTAATAGTTCTGCTAAGTTGTTTAAGGCGGATTTTTTTTTTAAGCTTTATAAAAAATAGAAGAGAGTGGTTGAAATTTTTTTTCGGAATAACGGCTTATTCTTATTATAAATTATTTTATAATAAGTTATTGTTATTATTATAATTATTATTTGATTTATTAAAAAAAAGGATTCACAAAAAAAGGCGAAAGTCCCGTTCTGTAGAAGATTCAGGAGAAGAGGAACCTACTGAAAGTTAACTTTTTTATTTTGCAATTAAGTTTTATTACTTCTTTGCGGTTAAAAGATATAAAAAAGTGGATATTTATGTGGAATTTGAATAGATTTATGACCGATATACCTAAATATTTTTGTTATTAATTTAAATAATAATAATAATAACGTTTAATGTGAAGCTTTGCAATTTGTTTGTTTTTTTTATTACTTCAGTTGACTTTTAAATGTCTTTATTATTTTTATTTTTATTTATTAAATTTATCAAAAAAAATATATAATTTTTTATTATTAGTATTTTTTAATTAATTTTGTTAAATATATAAATATTTATTATTTATAATTCATAATTTTTTATATTATTAATTATTTCCGATCTGATCTTTGTAATTTTAACTTTAATAAATTTTATATTATTTGAAGGCTATATTTTTATTCGTATTATTTTTTTCTATTGTTGGGGTTATTAATAGATCATATATAACTATTAATTTATTAAAATTCTTTTACAATTTTTTCTTAATTCTGTATGTTTTGATAGATTTTTTCTTTAATACGGAACTTCGCATAAACTTTTTTAGTAGTTAATATGTTTTTCGTAAATCGTAGTTAAGAATATTATTTTTAAATGGAATTATTTTTTCTTTTAACAAGAAAATCCTTTTATGTAATTATGAATGCTATGTGAGCTTGTTTTATTCTATGCGAGAGGCGCAGGGAGGCTCGCTTAAGCGTCTATTATGCAAGAGTTTTTTATCTCAAGCACTTCTTTTTACTATATTTAGATCATAATAAGAAACCCACAATTTTTGAACAGTCTCTTGCAGAACTGAAAGGGAAGTCTAAAGGAAGAAAAAAAAATTATGACAGTGACGACGTTATTTTATTTTTTATAAATAGAATATACAAGAATAGTATAGCCTTGCAGTACGCTTTTTTTAAATAAGTTATTGTATTTTTTAAGTAAGGAGTATTAAATATTAATGACTTTATACGAAATCTTTAGAACTTTAGTATCACGTGCTTGTTTTTCGCATGTGTCGAGCATACTGCCAAGTAACTACTTAAAAAGTTTATTCTTTGGTGTTTAGAAAATAAATAATCTTATACGCAAATTGAGTTGAGATAATAGTAATGGTTATAAATAGTAATGCTACGTTTCTGTTTCAATAATGAGAAATTTTAAGGAGCACAAAAAATGTCAACTGGCCAATGGTAATTCTCGCGGACATGCTCGTTCTACTCACTGGCTAAAAACTTTATATATACACGCGCATGTTTTGAAATTATGATAATTTTAACTTTGTGCAAATATGTAGACCTCATTAGATGATATGGCACGTGATCTTCTCCGCCAAATGGACGAGGCGGCAGAGCTGGACAGACAGGCCAATTCTAGTGGTCAGCCGGCTTTGGAAAAGTTAAAACTTCTTTCAGAAGTTCAGAAATGGATAAAAAAGTTTTTACTGTTCATTTTTTTCCTGTATTATTTTTATTTGCAATTTTTTAATGCTAAAATTAAAAAAAGTTTTTAAAAAGTTTGTAACTTAAATTGCGGTAACTCAATTTGATTCTATAAAAAAAAGTTTGTAAAGTTATTAACGTCATTATTGTTTGTTATTATCTTATTATAAAATTTAATAATTTTTTTTAATGTATTTTCCCTATTAACTCATACCTACAAATATATGGGAAATTGATATCATCATTTAAAGAATACTTTAGTATATAATTTAGTAAAAATTATTTGTTTATATTCTTTTTTTGTCTATTTTAATTATATTACTATAGATCGTAAATGGAACTTAAAATATTTCATTTTATTTTTTTATTATCTTTATCTATAAATATATCTGAACAGGAAGGACGGTTATCAGTTTCTTATAGAGAATGGATTCTTTATTTCGTTAAAAAACTGGCTCATGCCCTTGCCCGACAAATCTCTTCCTTCATTGGTCATTCGAAATGCAATATTTGATTCTCTTTCGCTCGTACCAATCTCTATTTGTTTTTATTGTCTTATTTTTGTTGGTAGAATTTCTAAAAACTTCTAATTTATTTTCAAAATCTTTAAGAAGTTCAGTACTCATCGGCCAGGGCGATTCTCTATTTTAGTTTTTTTTATTCATTATGAGTTTTGCCAAAAAAAGTTTGTCGTTATTAAAAAAGATTTTTCGTAACCTCTTATTGGATGCAAGACTAATTGCCAAGGTTTAGTTGGCTAAAAAATATTGCTTTGTTCACATTAGCCAATAAGCTGTATACCGTAATGTTTAGCTTTTTTTTAGAAAAGATATTTTTCTCTGCGAGCTTTTATTTTCATAAATATGCCAGTCAATAGTTTTTATAAACTTCTATCTACATCTTTTCTTTTTGTATATACTTTTTTTATTTTCAATGATATAAATATTTTTTTTATGTCAGGAATTATTACATCTAACATTATTATTTGTTCATATATTTATTTTTGATAAATTTTAGGCATGTTGCAGAAAACTTTATATATAACCTTTATTATTTATATTGTTGGCCTTATAGTTGTTATCAATCACTTTATAATTTTTTTTATATATTTTTATTTATTTATAAGCTGGAAATGACGGAAACTTTTATTGACCATCTGAAAGAGTCTGGTTTGGGCAAGATGGTGATGTTCTATAGCAAACATCCAAAAGAGAATGAAAAAACTCGCATGGCCTTGAAAAAAATGATTCGTAAGTTCTTTATCTCCTTCGCTCTCGAATATTGGTGTAGAGTCGTTTGCAGGCACACATGATTGGTAGTCGGAAGGGGGGGGGGGAGTAAGGATAATAGAACTATTAATTTGGGGCAGTAAATACTTATTGGACTTGCAAATCTCAATTTTAAACCAATTGCTTTCTTTAGAAAATTCACATAAATTTTTGGTACAACCACGTGTTTATTATTTTTTAAAGAGGAATGGCTACGTCCAGTGTTTAAAATAAAAAGTTCTTTTAAAGAACTGAGCTCGGATGAACGCCTCGACTATAAAAGCCAAGAAAAGCAGCAAGCAATACATCCAAAGTAATTTATTTGTAAAATGTAGTTTAACGTATCTTATAGTTTTAAATATAACATACATTTGATAATATATTATTGTATAGTTTTTGATTTTTTTTAACATATAAGTAAAACGTTAACTTCATTATTATTTCCATAAACTTTTTAATAGGGCTGAAGTCCATAAATACAAAAAGAAGCAAGAAGAGGTTAAGAGGTGACTGCCTTTACTTTCATTTATTTTCCCTTTATCTTATTGGCTTGTTTACGAAATGAGGCCCAAGTTTGGGGAGCCCGGATTTGTCAAAAGAGCTTTGGTCCCCAAACCTTCGTTGAAGGATTATTATAACAGCCCGAAATCAGTGGACGAGTCTTCTTTAAAAATATACAAATGCGTAAGTTGTTTGTATGCATCACAAATAAATGCTTTATTAAATTCTCGCTTTCCAAAAGGATAACTTGCTTTTTGTGAAACTAATTTTTTAGTGCTTCGAGTGATTTTTCTTGATAACTTATTTATATACAAATGTCATTTATCTATTTTTTATCATTAATACACTTAATTATTTTTTGTTGCTGCATTTTTATTAGGATCCTCGAACCAAAAAGTTTCGCAGCTTGGCAATACGGAAAAAATAAATTCGGTAGAGTATGAAAAGTAACGATTGTATGGAAAATTTAATGAAACCTTTAGTAAATTGGTTAAATCGCTTTTAAAATAAAGCATCGCTTTAGTTTTTGAAACACTAATATTAGGTCAAAGTTTTTGAATCATAATTGTTTATAGTACAATTATAGCTTAAGAAGTGTAGAATTTCGCCTACTTCGCTATTTATATGTGCATTTTTTGCTGAAATTCATACCTTTACCAAACTTTTTGAGACTAACAACCCCATTTCTTCAAGTAGTTAAAAAGTTGTCTTCAAAGACACCACTTTTATTAACTTTTTGTTTGTATTTTGCGTTCTCCACGCTTATTATTATTATGAAGTGTTGAATAATGCAAATAACTCGACAGCGACCGGCGGTTGGGTAATTCAACTGTAAAAGTTCTCCCTGTGAAGCTCGCAACTCGTTTCCATTTCTTAATTTCTGTAGTGCTCCGAAGTAATTTGGTGTCAAATTTAGCAGCTCCGTAAAGGGTCCTTTATATCCTGCTGAGGAACGGAGATTACTTACAAGCCCCCTAGTGCTGTAGGTTAACAACTATATAGATCAGGTAAATTTGGCGGCCTCAGGCTTTTCTCTCTTACGTATATTGTGCTGGTGCAATCCACATCTAATTTACATAATAATTTCTATTCGTTTTTATTATATTAACAAAGCCAAAAAATTAGTCAGTAATGATTTTAGCAATAACATGATATTAACTTTTATATAATCCTGTCTTTGTTGTGGTAGGCACGAGGGCAAATTGTTATCATATAAATTGGCCTGCGCACGCTTTTTTCCCTTTAATTTGTGGCCCCTGCTGTTGAGAAAGGTGTTCCCCGGGAGACTTTACTAAGACTTGTACCAGCAACATCTTTGAAAACTTGCATAGTGAAATTCTGTATGCTTTAACTAAGATGACCCTGTTAAGCAGAACACTTTGTAGCTCTATTCGTTAAGGTTATATAAATCAAAAATGTTGATTAGGGTTTAGCGTTATATTAGAGTATAACAATCTCAAAGCTAAACACAATTCCTTTTATAACTCGTACTTAACAATTTCAAACGGCAAGACACCGCGTTTTTATTTTTTTCACTCCGAAAATCCCAAGCACAATAAGTTGTTAAGCCAGCCAATCAGACTGCTTCAATTTTAACAGAACGCAGTATTTGGGCGTTAATTCTTTCGGTTCGTCTCAGGTCTAACCCCATGATTAAGGCAGTCGTTGGTTGTCGTAAGAAGCTCATTTCTCGTCACATGCCAAGATTTTGTGCACTACGAGACTTAGCGATTTATTAAGACGGTTCAAAAAAGAATATATAGTATGCCAAGTTGAGGTATAATATTCGTATAATTCGTGCAGAAACCACTGATCCAGCTTTTTTACTTTGCCCTAATAATATACTCAAAGCACTTATATGCTGAACACTTTGCGTGAATAAAATAATTCGTGCTATATGGAAGTAGTTCGACTCCACTACCGAATGATAGATTTTTTTCGCTTTTTCCATAGTCATTTCAGATTTCACTTTCCTGAGCGAATTTTTTTTTTCGTCATCAAGCCGTGCGTTCGTTTATACTTATTTCGCTACCAGCTACTTTAACTTAAAATTAGTAGCATACATACGTATAAAAATAATTAAGCCTTTAAGTTTTAAACCAAGAATCTTACTTTATTCAACTGCAGCTCGTAACTTTTTTGTTGTTCACGCCCTATAGCTATAAAACCACAGATCTGTCTTCTTGTTGCTCTACTTCTCTGTCAATCAATAGAATGAGTTCTTTTAATATAAATATAGGCTCTTTAAGCATGTATTTGTTTACAAATGATGAAAACCCTTCTTGTTAAAATGAATTAAATCACTATATGATTTTATTTTTTTCGAAGTATTTCTGTTACACTTTACATGTACTAGTTTAAGCGAGACTTTCTACCTAGAATTGTATAGGTTGCTCGGAAAAGTGTCTTCAGTGATACTTTCTGGTGTGGTATACGCATTGATGCCTAAATCATGGTTTAAACACGATTAGCATGCTAACCCACTATATGGTAGCTTTCTTATACTTTTTCCGACCTTAATTTTAATTTTTAGTTTAAGACGAAAAATCAGGTGCTATACAAGGCCCTAGACTTACCACAACTTTTTAGCAGGCCGAAAAGATCTGTGACTTTGTACTATATCATACTAAGTTTTCTAACTATGACCGCTTACGATAATGGACTTGGTAAACTTAACCTACTAAAAAAGTTGTTTCTAAATTTCCTCATATATGAATATTTGCAAATTTAACTTATAGGCTTAGAAGTAACGGCTTTACTATTAAAATATTACTGTACATTGTTATAAAAATATGAGTCCTTAATACAATACATTTGTTTTAAAAAAGTTTAAATTAATAGTTCACCTAGGCCATGGCGGCCATAGTTTTAAGCAAATATTATTAAAATAAACAATTTAACTTTTAAATATGCTAAAACAACTGAAAACGTCAAGTTGCATGTAAACCTTGGCTCGTTTCCTCTACAGACAAAAAAACTAAAAAAGAATTTCGGTTACACTTTTAGACAATTTAGTTAAACAAAAGCTTTTTAATATTACGTTTAAAACATTTGCTAATGCTAAAGATTTATAAGCTTAAACATTACATACTATATAGTGAAAGGAAAAATCCTTATTATAAAGATTTTTTATAAAATCATAAGACAGACAATGCCGATTCCAAACTAGTTGATAAAAAAGTTACTGAAAGTTTACAAAGTATTGTATACGTTATCAAAAAACTTAGTAAACAGTGAATCTCATGTAAAAAGTAGGGAGATTAAGGGGCAGACACAAGCTTACAGGAAAGATATCTATTGGTGACGTTGTGCCACATGAAGACCAGCAAATAATACCCATTTTAAGAAAATCTTTAAAGTTTATATTTTCCAACATTCAAGGCTCCCCACCTATTTAGACAACCGCAGGCGGTCAAAAAGTAGAGATCCCATTAGTAAGAAAAAGCATGCTAGTAACTCAACTTGGATCCTTAGGAAACCACATGGTTACCACTAACCTTTTTTGATTGGATAACGATTACTTTACCATGCCGGTATTTTATAACCCACATTGTTAGTAATTAAACCCCACAAATTTTTATGTATAAATACTCATGAAGCGACGCGGTGAGGAACTTTAGGACTATACTCTTTAGGATCATTTCTATAGTTCATGTCCTCGTCTTGCTCTCCAAGCGAGACAAACTCCTTAACCCTGCTGAGGAGCAGTGGTGCGGATCCCTCAAGTGGGAAGCGCGGTCGAGGTTGCGGGTTTTCCCCGTGACCTTCGAACCGATTGATGACTGCCGCGGCCCCCGTCTTTTTAAAGGGTTTGGGGCTTGCGGGGGGCTCCGCGCGTTCTGAAGGGTCAGGGGTGTTTTAGCTGTATTGTTAGCCTCCCGATTTCTTGTCGTTACTAAACTCGGTATGGGGGCCGGGTGGGTCGGCTTCCTTCGGGTAACACCTGGGTCCTCGGGTTTGGGAGTGCTTTTTGGGTCCCTTTCTGGTAGGAGCTCCCGTGCCACGAAGTTCGGGTGCAATCTCGCGCCGCCTTTTCTCTTTTTTAGTCTCATTCACTTCGTGGGTGGTTGTTGTGTTGTGTGGCTTTTAACCGTTCCTTAAGCGGCGCGCTTTGGTTTGGTGGCGTTGTTGCGCCCTCGTCCCTTGGCGCCTGTATATTTTTCCTAACTGCACACGCCTTTTTTCTACCTGACTGTATTTTTCTGGATTTTTCCCGTGCTTGAGTGGGTAGGGTTTCAGTAGATGGGGGGAGGAAAGGGAGGCGTGCTCTCTCACCCCTTTCTGGATTTTTCCCGTGCTTGAGTGGGGAGGGTTTCAGTGATGGGGGGAGGAAAGGGAGGCGTGCTCTCTCACCCCTCAATTTACCACATAACAGAATGGTTGTTGTTTGTTTGGGTTCTCTAAGCTTATCGGAGGGGTCCCCACTCGTCTAGTTTTTACTTTCCACGGCTTAGTCCCGTAGAAAGCACCACCCGGTGCTTATAAGGGCGCCGCCGCAGTCGTTTTATGCTTACGTTTTATACCCAAGGCTCCGGTTGTCGCGTAAGTTCCCCGGCCCTTGTTTGCATCTAGGAGAGAGGGACCTTGTTTGTTGTTTTTGGTAAGAACGTAAAATGTGTGTTTCCGCAATATTTTTCTAAGGGCAAGGGGGGACTGACTTTTAGGTAGGGGGAGACTTCTATGTTGTTTATGTAAGTTGTCTTTTTTATAATAATACAACGATGGCCTCAAAAGACGTTAATATATTATAATATAGAAACTCTAAGTGTATAAATTAACTCTGAAAACCGGTAGCTTTAAACTTATTAAATTAGACCAATTATAAAAATAAAGACACTGGATATATATATATAGCTCCTTCTCTCTCAACGGCCAGAGTAATTAGTTATTTACAATTTTGTTTCGCATACACTTTAAAGGATTTTCATGCTCAAAAGTTACGTTTACTTTATGGTATCCTTTAATTAAAATAATAACTCTTATGTGAATGGTGAGATTGGTAAGAATGCAAAAATTTACCAAAAATTTATTTTCTGAATTTTTTAATATACAATTAAATTACATAGTTACTTATTTAAATCATACCTAAGCATATATATGGATGTTTAAGTAATTACTACGAACTCTCAGTTTTAGCCTTTTTCTTAAAGTTTTCGATATATTGTGAGATTTTTTGAATTTTAGCAGTATTTCTCTCTTCGGGGGTAACAACTAAGTTGATATGTTTCTTAATTTCATTAACATTCTGCTCCTGAAGACTTTCTAAAGATTTATTAACACGGGCTTCTATATAATGATTTTGACGCTTGGTTCGAAGAGCTTCAATTCTTTTCATTGCCAAGATGGTATTGGCCCATAAATTTCTATCATAACGAACGGGGACATTTCTACGTTTCTCAAATTCATAGGTTTTATCCTTTAAAAGAATAAGCGTTACTGTTTAAAAATTATCCCAGGAAAAGAAAAGAAATAGTCGTTGTTGAACAAAAAAAATAAGAAAACAATTTTTAAGAGTAAATTAGAGTTAACATTAAATAAGTTACAATTATCATTTCTTTTCCGGCAGATTTCCTGTAAGCTTTAGTCCAACGAACTTTACGAGGATTGCGTTTCATTCTAAAATTTTTGACACATTTACTTCGGCAAAATCTAAAAACCTAAAATAAATAATAACAACCTTTAGTAAAATTATTGAAATTAAAAATTTTACTTTGCAGTCATTTCTTATAAATGTTGAACCCCTACCAGGATATATTGTAGAGGAGCAAAAGTAGCATTTTTCTAGGCGCATTGGGCTGGCTAAAAACCTAGACCTAGCACTTAGCTACATCCAAATTACTTTACTAGAGCAGAATTATAAAAATTTTAGTTCAAGTAATCACGTGATTAAGAACAAATTGTTTCTAGCGTATCGCATGGACTACTACTGGAAATTTTTTGAGTCTGGTTTAGTAAATAAAACCAATGTATATATACATAAATTTACTTTATAAAGTTTAAGACGTAGTTTTTAAGCCAGAGTCTTAAAGTTTATATAATTTTTAACTTGCTCTTTCCAAGTATTAAAGTGTATTTGTGCCATTTCTTTTAAAAACTCACTTTTTATATAATTGAAAATTATATAATGGTTACTAAAAGCTACGAAGCTTTACGAACTGTCTTTTTTTACTTTTATTGTTATAATTATTATTAATGATAATTCCTATGTGCTCAATCGGGTCGTAAAATAAAACAACGAATTTACGAGCTCTCAACAGGGTAATAGCGTACACATTAGCTTTAAGCTTGTGTTAAAGCAATCTCCTACATATTTGTATTAAAACAATTTACCTCTAACCCATATTATATATATTTAGAATCTATCGCGGGGTCGGCGGTAGAGAGCGCAGGTCCAGATTTCGTAGTTGGCCTCATCTGTCAGTAATTAATTGATGTGCTGAGTAAGCCGATCGTAGATGGCGATAGCATTGCGTCGAAAAACGTTACCCAGAGGTTCAATCTAAAGGTCTTGATGTAAGGGGTCGCTGCAAACAAACCACGACGCACCCGCCGTAAGGCGTAGCAGCTTATTTTGTCTTACTTGTTGCGAAGAGACTATTGCCGATGAGCAGTAAGTCCAGGCAGTAAACAGATATGTTATGATCGGTCGGATGCACAACAAATACAACAAATACAAGCGTAGTTTGTTGTGTGGCATGAGTTTGCTTCAAGCACAAAGTAAAGGGTTAGGACCGCCACCTTGGTCTTCGAAGCGATTAAGTTTATGTGCGGTTGCCGCGAGAGTTTATTGTCAATAATGACCCCCAAGTACTTCGCTGAGGACACCGAGGAATTAATTTATTTAAAGGGTCAGCGGCGGTAGTGGTGTAGAGCGCTTATTTTTGACGAAAAGGGCTTTGCTCTTTTCCCTATCGACAGTAATTTTCCAACGACGACAAGTTGGCAAGCGTTACTAGGTAGTACTGCAGATGCTGGAGCAATAGGGCAGGTTACTTTGACGAAGAATAAATCGCTGTGTCATCCGCTATAAGGCAATCCGCCCGTTGGGGTCGCCAGGCTGTGGTACGTCCCCTACATAATGCGTTAAGGGTAGGGGTGATAAATGAGACCCCTGTGAGACTCAGGTTGTTAGTGGTCTTATGGGTGAGCGTCCTTAGACACGGTCTTTAAGGTAGGATTTGATCACGTTAAAAAAATAGTAGGAAGGGCTATGGCGAGCATTTTGTGAGGCAAGCCTTTATGCCAAACTCGGTTATAAGCTTCTTCAACAATAAAAAAGACGGCCCCCGTCGCCTTCCCTAAATTGTAGGCACGGGTCCTCCACTCTGTCAAGCGAAGGAGTTGTTGAGTCGTGGAATGTCCTTGTCGAAATCTAAATTGGGACTCTGACCGGGCGTGGCTTGCATCGACGAATGCTTTCAAGCGACGCAGTATGACCTCCTCAGCTACTTTGCTAAGGGCTGACAAGAGGCCGGTGGACCTGTATTTGCTTGGCGTAGATGCTGGTCGTGGTGCCTTCGGAAGCGTCATAACGGTTGTCTTCTTCCAGCTTCATGTGTCTTTTTCACTAGGCCTTTATATTAAGTAATTTTATAGTATTTGTCCTTTAAATTAAAACATACGTTCGCAATAAATAGGAGTAAAACCTTTATTAAATCTAAATATTTTATGATCTAGTATTTTTTTAAAATTAATAGTAAGTGTAAAGAAATTTACTATTATAGTAGTTTAAGTTTTACTTAACACTTTTCATAATTGAAAAGAGGGTTATGAAATATTTAAACACCTGTCTTGTTTGACGCATAATTTGATATAGATAAAAGGCTGACCTTTCTGAAAATGTTAATTATATATTAAGCTTACTAATAGAAAATTTGCTTTTAAGGGCTTATAAAAAATTGATAGACAACCACTTATTAATATTGAGCTTTCTATACTTTACATAGTCAAATTTGTAATGGACAAATAATAAATAAAATAGCCACTACAAAATAAATCATGTGACTCTTCATGTAATATGTTGCAACCTGCTAAGTTTTTGTGAGTAGTTTTTGGGCGTATATTTTTAATGTGGCGTAACATTTTCTTTTTTCCAAGTACTAAAGGTGCTATATTAATATTTTAATGAGGATTATTGAGATTATTAAATTAATTTTCCAATTTTTATTAATTATGATACTCTTTTTTTTTAGTATTAATTATTTTTTAAAGAAACATTGACTTTCTTTCTAACCTAAATATAGTTATTTAATGTTTTGTTTATTTTAGCCCCGTTCAATGCCTTTTATTTTCGAAGGAACCATTACTTTATTAAACTATTAGCAGCGTCTACTTGTGTTGGCCTGGCAGTTTGCGTTTACAGGTGTTCTCTCGTTAACTTGAAAACTTAAAAATAATTTAATTACCTTTGTAATTTTTCAAGTTCTAAACTTTGCGTAGTCTTCAGTATAAGTAAAACTGATATTCAATTTGCTTGTTTGATTTCCTTTATTCACCTAAAAATGTGCATTTTACAACTTATAGGATGTAAAACTTTTAAATAAAATTTAACTATAGCCTTCTAGTATATATCTTTATGTGTACTGTACTATTTAATATTTTAAAGGAAAAACTTTTATATTATATTATATGCTATTTTTTCCAATTAAACCTTTAATATTTAATTGTAGATATAACACAGACTTGGGCTTTCAGCGGTCTTTAACCTTTTGGTCGCAAATGGGGCCCATTTATGCCCATTACCGTTTCGTAAAGTGGAAAGTTAGAGGGCAGTCTGAATCTGCGCGGGTATCTTTTATATCCACAAGTATAACTTTTTACATAAAATAGTAAAAAAAATAATTTTTATTTTTTTTGAAGTAAATTTCTATTTTTTGTATGAAAAACGTTTAATTTTTTATATTAAGACGAGGTTACTTTATTTTATTATTTTATATAAGTAAAAAACTATAAAGATCATTTTCTTTATTTTTATTATATACCTTTCTAGAATTTTTTTAACTTACCACACAGGTTAAAGCAATTTATAATTTGGTTTTAATTTACCTGAACTATATGTTTCCAATGTTTTTATGAAATTCTGTAGTTTGACTATATTTTTTTAATTTTTAGGAATCCAGCTTATTATAGCTAATTTTTATATAAAATCCATGTTATAATTAAAAATTATATGAATATCGTTTGTAGAATTTGTGATATAAACAAGTTTATTATTTTCTTAATTGTATTAATTTTTCCTATTTTAAGGCTGCAGCTTTTAATTGTTTGCATGAAAAGTACGCTGAAAAAATTTATGATATTATTATAAATTTGAAAGGTTTCATTAATAACAACAACTTTTATGTAATTTATGTTTATTTTACTATTTTATTGAAAACTGTAAAAAGTTATAGAAAATAACAATATTTTAAGAACTAATAAACAACAATAAATAAAGGTTTTTTTTATAATAACAATAAATTTAATAAAGCTTATTAATAGTGAAAAAAGAGTTAGTTTATATATATATAATATTATAAGTAAATAATAGTTATAAAAAGCTTAAGAAATAATTTGGATACTTTTTTTAATTTATGACAACAATGAATAGTAAAAGATCACCATATAATATTTATATAAAAAGTTCAGTTCATATATTACATTAGAATTTGAGAAAGTAAATTTGTAATTTTTATATATTATAACAAGTGAGCAACCAAAGCTAAGGTAGTACTAAAAGGTATTAATATTAACAAGTGAATAAATAAAGCTAATATAAATTGTCTTCAGTAATACTGAAAAGAAAAGTAGTTTGGAAGCTTTATTAATATGAATTTAATTTGCAGGGTTTTATGTTAAAATCGGCCAGATTGCATGCTCCCGACCCGATTTTGTACCAGAAAGTTTCAACCTGTTTTTATTTTTTTTAACAGCTTTCATTATGTTTTTTTACTATATTATTACGTTACATCAGTATTTATTTATTTTAATTTTTTTTATTTATAATTTATTATTTATACTAATATTTTTTTATTATCATTATAATAACTATTAGCTTTTTGTTTTTTTTCATTATTATTATTTAAGTACTTTGACCATTTTATTTTATTAGCATATTTGCTTTATATATAAAAATATGGTTCGTATTTTATTATTGTTTACTTTTATTAAGTTTTTTCCTGTTATATTTTTTTTTTATTTCAGTATTTTGAAATGTTATTTTCTTTATTTTTTTTGTTTTGCTTATTAACTTTTATTAAATATTATATGTAAAGTTTACCGTTTATTATATTTTAAACCTTTTCACATCGTTACTTTCATTATATTTTTACTGTGTCACATTTTTTATTTACTTTTTCATTTTTCTTCGCGCTGTCCACTAGCAATCTTAAAACATTTAAGAAAGTTAGAAGACAAAGTCCCGCCAATGGAATTTAGTAAGGTCTGTGAAATTGTTGAATATTCTTTAAAAAGGTCTTTTCATGAAGTTTTTTTAAACTTTGAAGAAACGCCGCTCGGTACTCATTGGTGTTAAAAAAATTCTTTTTCGTCTTTTTTATGTTTGTGAATATAAAAATTTGTTATTGGCTTATTTTTTATATAATTTCGTTCATTGTTTTACTTGATTTCCATTTGCCAATTTTTTTGCTATTAGTGTTTTAATTGTCTCCTTTAATCATATTTTTTTCTTAAATAGTTTCTGTTGATGACGTTGATACCAAAAATTTGTTTTTGCGCGTCATCCAATACCCTTCCCGTTGGCGCTTATTATATTATATATATATACCTCGCCTTTAGGGGCCGCCAGCATTGGTCAAGTGCATAAGGCCACGCTTCTTGATGGGAGCTCAGTGGCTGTTAAAGTTCAGTACCCGAATGTTGAGGAATTGTTCAGAGTAGACATGAAGGTATAATCTACTTTTCATAAAAAGTTATGAATAAATATTTTTTCGTTTTTCTTTATTTTACTTTGAAAAACTTTTTGACTATATATATATTGGTATCGCGAATAATATCCTGTTATACTAAATTTTTTGTAAATATATAATAATTATATAAGTATCTTTATTCTTTTACTTTTACATTAAATATAATTATAAATTTTTTTTTAAAATAAGACGATTCGTCAGTTTTGCTGGCTTGCTCAACCAGAACAACTCCCGCTTTTGGATGAAATTGAGCGACAGTTTTTAACTGAATTTGATTATTCTAAAGAAGCTGAACATTTAGAAAAAGTAAAGTTTTATTATTATTATTATTATTATTATTATTATTATTATTATTATTATTATTATTATATTGTTCAGGTACGCGAAAATATGAAGCAGTTTGAGCAAGTTGTTGTTCCTAAACCGTATCGTGAATTTTGCACTAAAGAAGTCCTCGTTATGGAGTTTCTTTCCGGCATCAAACTTATAACTGGTGATTAATAATAATCACTATATAATAATTGTTGAGTGTGGAATTTTTTTTAAATATAAATTCATTAATTTTATAATAATTGCCGTTTTCATTTATGTTTTATACAATATTTTGTTTAGGAATAAAAAAACAATTTGAACATTTTGTAGAGAAAACTGGAAAATCCCTCGAAGAAATTGAATATGAATTTAAGAGTTTCTTATTTGTTCTTTTATATAAGGAAAAAAAATTATGATTTTCTTATTTTTTTGACTCATTTTTATTTTTTTAAAGCTGGAAGTAAATTGTTAGGGAAATGTTCCTTTGTAAGCAGGATTTCATAGTTTTTATAAATATTTACTTTACAACTTTTATTAATTAAATAAAGGCAAAAATACTAATAAATTCTTTTCTTTTAGTTTTTATTATACCTACTGTAGTTTACTACTTTTGTTAAAATATTTATGGGTAGTGTGCGCTATATATTTTTAATCTAGACGTTATCAAAATTTGTGATTAAAATTTTTGCTGTTTTTAAGGTTGTAGGTGCACTATTATTTTTAAATTTAAAAAATTGTTATTAAAATATTTACTCACTGAATTTTCTGAACGCTTAGTTTTTTTGTTGGTTTTTTTAGAATTTTGAAGCTTTTTCATTTGTTGACGTATTATTACAATTTTTTTAAAATATTAAACTGTTTTTTTACAACTTTTTTAGAGGCCTTGTGCAATCGCAAGGATTTGACCCCAAAATTAACTGCCTTTCGAATGGAAATTTATCGCCAATTTTTATATTTTAAGTGGTTTTTGAAAAACACCTTGATTGGCCTGTATAATTATACGTTTGGATTTTTATGCGGTACTTTTTTGGTTATTGATCCCTCTATGTCCGCACAAAAATTAGTACAAAGTATAACCTTGTAAAATAATATTAAAAATATTGAACTTAATTGTAGGCCTTTAAATGTTGAGTTTCCTCATTATTTATAATGATGGCGTTTATACATAAATAACGCTTAACATATTAACACTAATTGACCAATCGCCTTTTTCAGTGAAAAACTGAGAATTTTATTCCATATTATTAGGAAACCGCAAAAGCTATGTGGAATTATTTATTCCTATTAACCACGTTAAAGTCATTGAAACTTTACTGAAAGTCCACGCGAAAGCAGTGTTGGAAGACGGTTACTTCAACGGAGATCCTCATCCAGTGCGCAACTATTTATATAAACTATAGTTGGAGCGTCCTTTTTTTAGTGAGTATTAATTTAACAGAAAAAGTTTTTGTTGGGTCTACTACTTTAAATTGGTTTTTGTAAGAAACCGTTTTAAGTTGTTGCCTCTTTCAGTATTTTTTAGGGCGCTTTGTTGGGGCTATTATTTTTATTCTTATTTTGTATGAAGTTTCAATTATAAGTAAATTGGCATATGACGCGAGTAATTTTATTGTTATCTTATTTATTATTATAACTTTGTTAGAATAAATTTACATTATATTACGTGCTTATTTATTGTTTTTTTGAGTTTATTTATGTATATTTATTTCCTTTTTACGATATTATAATAAACAGTATGAGTTTCATCACTTATAAATGCTTATAGTAGCGTGTTTAAATTATAATGAAGAAAATCCCACAAATAAGTAATTTTAGCGGTTAAGGAATGAAAAAGACTAATCAAGTTAAAAAATTAAAAAGAAAACGAAAAGAAGATTATTATTATTTATTTTATTTATTTTTATAATTTTGTATAAACTTTTTTAAGTTTTTATGGTTTATTATATTTTTTAAGTTCCTTTTCTATTTATTGTACTGTATTAAAAGTAATAACAGAAAACTGATTTTTATGTTATTTTTATACTACATGGAGCCATTACTGTGTGATTGCTAGATTGTTATACAAAATGATCAAAATTCAATTTTGTTGTGATTATACGCCAATATCGCCAGAAAAACAAGTTCACTATTTTTTTTGTAAGGGAAACATTTTACTATTAGACGATGGTCGGCTGGGATTGATTGACTTTGGTCAAGTGAAACAGTTTACCGATAGTCAACGCGTGACTTTTTCTAAACTGATAGTTGCTCTTTCTGGTTATTTTTTATTAATTTTAAATTAAATTAGGATTTTTAATTATTATATTTTTTGGTACTTATAAGAAAGTACGAAAGTAACTTATTGATTAACAGAAAAAAATTCGGAATGTATCATTCGACTGATGAGAGAGATGGGACACCGAACTCAAAAAAGTTTCTCGTTGTTAATATATAAAGACGTGTCCATATACAATTTAGTATTTTTGTACTTTTGTTATGATAGTAGTATTGGGAAAGACTGGTAGATTTGTTATTTACAAATAAAGCGTTTCATACATACTTGTGTACCCGCAACCATGGAATAGAGTTACTACCATACAATAATGGAGAGCTCATAACATTAATTGTTTGCAGTATATAAAGTTTTTGTTGTTTTTTGAAAAACCTAGTTAGAAATTTATGAGGCATAGTTCACTTGTCCCGCTCTTGATTAATTCTATAAACTATAGAGGCGGACCGCTTTTTTTTTTTCTTTCGATATTTGAGCCACACTATAAGTAATTTAGTTTACTAAACAAGTTCAGTGAGCTATGTGTTAGCGCTGTTCACTTCAAAATTTTTAATCTTATAAATAATTCTGAAGTTGCTGAGAACTAAATAGTATTATTTTTATAAGTTGGTTGATTGTGACAACATTTAGTTTAAGTTAGGTAAATAAGTAAAGACGTTATGAATTTTAGAGGAAAGTTTATATAAAGTATTGATTTAATCAGAAAGGGTTAGGTTACACAGTTCTTATAAAATATAAGAAAATGCTTTATTTATAGCGAAGTTTGTTCTTTCGTGAATTAAGTTAGTGAATTAAATTAGTGTCTTAAAAATAACTACACTAGTTTTTGATTACTTTTTTTATCGCCAGATGATGCGTATGTTACTGAAAAGACCGCTATTATATATTACGATAGAGACGATCCAGAAATTCTAGAGGGAAAAAGCATTTTGGAGTTTTTTGAATTTTTGTCTAAAAAGGACAAGACAATTAGCGCGCCCAATGACTATATGATGGCTGGTTATTATTTTTTTTTTATAATTTATAATTTAAAGAAATAAAAGATAAAAGAGCAAACAACTATTAATTATTCCCGAACAAAATTTTTAAGGAAATAAAGTTTTTGTCTACTTTAATGAAGTATTTGAGTACTAGTGGGTTTTAATTCATCTTTATATATTAATTGTTTTACAGCTTCGAAGAGAATTGATTTATTTATTTTTTAACTAAGCATGTTATAATTGATCTCTGTGCTTTTTTTTATTATAACTAATAGGCCGTGTAGCGCTTTTTATAAGGGCGCCCGCTTTGGCTTTTGGTTACCCAGTGAGTATCGCCGAGTCTTGGAAATCTGTTTTATAATTATTTTTTATTATATAATCTTTATTATTTATGTTATTACTGCTTTAGGTGGCCGAAAAAGTTCTTAAAGATAATGACGTATGCTTTTGCTTTTTAAACAAGAATATTGCTTGCAACTGTTAAGACTTTATATTTTGAGTTGTTTAAAACAATCTTCAAACTTTTGAGTTGCGTAAGAACTGCGAACTTTAATCCTATAGAACATGATACCTTCGATAAAGAAAATAATTTACAACACTATATTGCTTATTAAATTGTTTTATAGACTTTTTTTAACTTTTTTTAATTTAAAATAGTTTGTTTACTAAAATAAATTTATATACTCGTCAAGTCTCTTGTTGTTTAAGGACTCTACTTTATAAAGATGCAACAGCTCTTACAGCTCTTGTAAAGTTACTTTAAATCATATTTTTTTTAGCTTTATCTTTTTATAATATTGGAACATTTAATCTTATAGATGATTTAAGTTTAATTAGCTTTTATAGCGTTAATTTTTTTATTAATTACTTAGATCTCTTATGAATAGCTTGCAATAATGCACGTCAGTTTGGGTTCGGTTATAAGTTTTATGCTTGATATTTTTTTCTTGTTAAGGCAATTACAAAACTTTAAGGAACTCTATTACCTTTGCTCTTAGATAACATCTCACGCGTTGGGATATAGCTTTTGTTTCAATTATTTTTAAAGTATTAAAGACGACTTAAAAAGGTGAGAATAAGTAGTCTGTTTTATCTAGTATCTTTATAAGCTCTCTTGGATATTTTTTGCATAACTTAAGTTACGTTGACTGAGGATTTAAACAAATTCAGTAGGCAAAGCTTCTAAATATAACCACATATGTGGATTGCTGAAAATTTATTATAAAGAGTACTTATAACTGAGCTGTTTTTTTTAAGTTAACCCTGCCAGCTTCAAGGCCCTATAATAGTTGTACAATAAATTTATTTCTAGAAAATATATAATACCTATTACACCAGTAAGAATATCAAAACATTAACAAAGTTAATGAACTAAAAGGAATTGAGAGCTTCATTTTAACGTAAATCGATTTAATATTCTTTCACAAGGGTTTTTCTCCTTAGTATTGTATCTTTGACTCTTGTAGCAATTGATTTAATACTAGCGATATTTTTTTAATTTTTAGTTTTTGGAGTATGCTTTAAAATTTTTGTAGTTTTTGAATTATATGTTAAAAAGTCATTGCATTTACCAAGCCTTCTGTAGCTTTCAATTATTTTACCTTGCAAAGCGTATAATTAAGTATACTTTTAACGGTTATACTGAAATTTATTTATAAGATCTGCACTCTGATCTCCCTAAAAAAGGAGCCCCAAACCCGCCCGGTAGGTGCGAAGATCATGTGTTCTCAGATTTAAACTTTTTTGCGCTTATTTGTATCTGAGTATTGGAAGATAAGCCCACAGTGAACACTTTAACTCTCTTGATCCGTCTAGCCCAATTTTATTAGTGTGCCGAGAAAATTAAATATTTACAGGTCGGTTTCTCTTTTTTTTTATTCTTCCCTTTGTCGTTAAAAGCACTTTACTTTTGAAAAGATAATATCATTTCTGTGAAACTCATAAGAGAGAGAACTCATAATATAGAGAATTTTGAGCTTCCGAGAATGTATAATTAGATCACTGGCGTTAGTTTTACCAAATTTTGGACAGATAATTAGGCAGACGTGAACGTGTTTAAAAATAAGGGTAAGACATCTCTTATTGTGCACATACATAGGCTAAGGCATTAAAACACTAGAGATTTGTAAGGCATTGTCATCAAAAGAAACTCTTTATAGCTCCTATCGAACCTTAAAACCAGGGCAGAAGGTGAAGAAATAAAAAACAGAATCAAGATAACTTTATAAAGTCGTAACTTTTTACTTGAACTATAACGGTGGCGGGTGTAATTAAATATCCTAAGAAGTCAGACGTAACGACTTTTAAAGTAGGTAGCACTTTTAAAAAACTTTGCCCTAGCTGAATACGAATTATTTAGTACGTTTAACTTTCCATTAACCCTACAGGTGATCGCATCTCTAATTTAGAAATTAGTACTCGCAGTAGGTCCCTCAGACCCCTTGAGTTTTAAAAAATTTTACTTTTATATTAAACAGAAAGTACCTATTATCATGGAACATTTGTTATTCATTGAGATATTAGGATACAGGTCACACTAAATAATAACTTCTAATTTAAAAATTAGAAAACAAAATCAGAAGGCAACGAATACATATGAGATCGACTTACATTTTTAAAAATTTTTCAAATATTTTAAGTTAAACGCCATATATTACTGCTGAAAAATAAAAAGAAAGTTCATTTTAAGTAAAAAAAAATAAAATCATGAAGAATAGGTTGTTTAGAAGGGCAGCAACTCAGTTGACTAAGTATTACCTATTTCTTTGCAACAAACGTTACAAATAACCAAGGAATTTCTAAACACAAATATATTTTACATTTTGCGCAATATCTTGTTTTTCACTTTTTCACCTTACACTTGGAGCAGTTCCCTCTGAGGCGGTCGTCTGTTCCTTGAATTTCTTCCGGTTCTTAAAATACCTAAAATTTTATTTATTCTAGCCATTAAGTTTCGCGGAATATTTTTGTTTCCTTTAGTTCGAGCAGTTACACCGGGTAAATGAGTTACTATATTTTTGTGTTCTTGTTCTAACGTTTTTTGGTGGTGCCATTTTACGCCATTTAATACTCCCGTCTTTCCCCCAAATACCATGGACCAGCATCTACTTCATTTACGTTATCTGATAACTATTCCCCCTTATCAGATTCTTAATCTAGGATTTTATAATTGGCGCTATCTTAGTCTATGCGCCCACCATCAAGATCCTTATCTCTTTGTCTATTTGAACTTCATGCAAACGTTAAAGACGAGCTTGTCCTGCTTCAAAACTCTATAGTTTTCTACAGAAAAAAATTGAAAGTTGCAAAAAACTATACAAAAGTTCTACATTCTTACCTTATCAACTAATACCAAAATTTAAACAATAGTTTCGCAATAACACCGTTAGTAGTTGCAGAGGAACTCTCAGACTTCCAGTGCTGCTGGTTCCCGAAGTAACACATAAACAGATGCGAATTGACCTCAGCCTAAGAGAGAACTTAGTCGGAAGATACCGAAAATGGGCGAGTGTATATGCAATGATCTGAAATTTCCACATCTGAGATCCTCTGGGATCAATTGTAAGGTTAAGTCGGAAACTTCTTATACCGGTTTTTAACTTTTTAACTTTTAAGGAACCTAAAACATAATGCCTACCCCAAAAAATTAGATATTCAGTCACTCATTATTTTTTCTTGCGTCTTAATTTTTTTTTAAGTTGTGTGAGTATTAAAGTATACTTTGTGTTTATTGTAAATTTGCAAAATATATTTGTTTTCAATAAAACCGTGTATATTGTTAGCCGAGGTAGTTTTCTAATAACAGTTTAAACTTTGCTTTTTCGTGAGCTACGTTAATAGACACGATATTTTAAATGTTTGTTACAAAGTTGTCCGCCTTTAATAATTATACTAAAATGCTTTAAAGCTTTTATCTTTTTTTATTTTTATTGACGGGATCCCCTGGTGCTCGATCGAACGTGAAAGGAAATTAACGAGCGCTCAACAAGGTGATGGCGCACACATTAGCTCTAAGCTTATTATTATTATTATTAATGATGTTTCCTGGAGCTCGATCGAGTCGTAAAAGGAAAAGAATTTTACGAGATCTCAACAGGGTGATAGCGTACACCTTATAACAAAAGTTGTATGCGTAATTTATCAGCGAGTTGTCGCCGTGTCTCAGTAGTTAGAGCATTGTCGCGCAATCTCAAGGTCGGGTGTTCCGTTCCCATCAAAACCAACTCGCATTTTTCTGGTCTGGTGGTTACCGTGTACAACTTCCTTACAAACAAAGTCCTGATACATTAGCTTTAGCTTGTGTTAACGCAATCTCATATATATTTATTAAAAATAATTCTTCCTTTAACCAGTGTTATATATTTAGAGTCCATTGCGCAACGGCGATTGCGCCGGCCCAGATTTCGTAGTTGACCTCATCTGTCCGTAATCGATTGGTGAGCTGATTGAGTTGATCGTGAGTGGCGGTAGCATTGTGTCGAAAAACGTTACCCCAACGCTCAATCTGGAGGTAAGGCATCGTTGCGAACAAACCACGGCGCGCCCGTCATAAGGCGTTGCAGCTTGTTTGATCATCCGCACATAAGGCAAACCGTGGGGGTGGTCAGTCTGTGCCCCGTCTCGTACACAAAGTGCAAAGAGTAGGGGTGATAAAAGAGATCCTTGTAAAACTCAGGTTGTTAGTGGATTTATGGGACAGCGCGCTTGACGCGGTCTTTAAGGCAAGATTTGATCACGTTTAAAAAAATTAGTAGGAAGGGCTATGGTGACAATTTGTGAGGCAAGCCTCTGTGCCAAACTTGGTTATAAGCTTCTTCAACAATAAGAAAGACGGCGCCCGTTGTCTTCCTTAAATTGAAGGCACGGGCCGTCCACTCTGTCAAGTGAAGGAGTTGTTGAGTCGTGAAATGTCCTTGTCGAAATCCAAATTGGGGCTCTAGCAGGGCGTGGCTTGCATCAACAAGTGCTTTCAAGCGGTGCAGTATGGCTACCTCAGCTACCTTGCTAAGGGTTGACAAGAGGCTAATAGGCCTGTATTTGCTTGGCATAGATGCTGGTCGTGGTGTCTTCGGGAACATCACAACAGTTGCTCTCTTTAGCGCAATTGGAAGATGCCGAGAGTCACCGTAGGGTTGATGAGGCAGCATAGTCATTCTGCCCCCAATGTTGTGATAGCCTTAAAGTCATAGGTCTTCCCGCTTGGGTAAAGCTTTATAATCATTATTTCTAATGCTCTTCGGCATCGGCGGAATTTCATACACAAAGCACTTCATCTATTACTTAATAAAGCAGGCGGCATACACTGAGTTGCGAGGTGAACATTAAAAAGTCTCGCTTTGTCAGCGTCAGTTTCTCCATGAAGTAGTCGTCTGGCATAGTAGGTGCTTGTAAACACGTGCGTGGTTTTTGTATTTCCTAATAAACTAATCGGAAGTGTCACGAATCACTGTTAACTTAACTTTGTTTACCATGAATGGTTGTGGTGCGCTGTCAGCTTTATCCAAATGCGCCGGTGTAGTCTATTAAGCAGACGTTGTGGCACCGTGACCACTCAAATTAGGCGTCGTCGCTCGCAAATAAGGCCCCAGTTCATCAGGCAAGCGGTTGGGGAGGAACTCAACTTCACGTGTACCCATTTTTGTTAAAGGTATAAGTATACGCGTCATATATTAAATTTGAAAACCGATAAATATAAATAAAACTTTTTAACTTCTAGTATATGGTTAAATGGCTGAAAAGCTAACGTATTAGTTCCGCTGACAATCAATTTTTCAATTTAAATAACCCCCTCCCTATATTCTCAACGTTTTCAAACTTTCGTGTTAACGACCGAGATGAGCTTATCCAGTGAAAATGGTAAAGTTGTTCATCCTCTAGGATTGGAACCTCTTGGTGCTGCACTATTAAAAGGATGTACGGTTTTTTAATTAAATCTATTTAAACACATATTATTCAAAAATTATATAGCTTCTAACAAAGGAAGAGAAAGGGGATTAGGGCTCCTTAATATCTTCAGGTACTTTTTTGTATCATTTAACAATTAAATTTTATGCCTGTTTATACTAGTAGAGCGAGCAATATTGATTAGTTATGTATATATATTTTCCTTAGTGATGAACGGATAATATTTATTTTAAAACTACTCAATCCTAAGAAGTTAGGTCAGCTTATTACCTTCCTACTTGCGTCTTTTGATAGTGTTTTATTAACTAAAACTTTTATCTAATAATTTTTAACCTTTTTAAGTAGTTCAATTGCAAAGTGTGAGTAAAGTTTTATACGCCTTTACTCGGCACGAGGAAATCTGGCGAGATTTATTTAGTTTAGAGCACGAAAGTCTTCGGCCGTTTGTAATATGTCAAACTTGGCGTGAGACTTTCCTTTATTCAAAATTTCCAAATTTTCACCGTAACAGCTTAAATTCTGGTTTTCTACTTAAAGTAATAATTTTTTAAATTAAACTATTTTAAGTTGTTGACAACTATTTTATTACTTCAGGATTTTTATTCAGATGTTTTATTTTATTCTTGGTATTGTCTACGTATGCAACCTTTGCCCAGCTGGTTGCAAATTTCTAACGTAGATTTTAGAAGTAATATTACTAAAGAGCAGGTTAAATATGTACAAAATTTATAATGAGTTTTATTCCAGTAGAAAAAGAATAGTATTGCTTATGAGTGTGATAATTGTATTTTTTAATTTTTTAAAAAAATTGCGTTTCCTTTGTTTCAGTTGAAAATATTCCCCAAAAAAAAAGTGTTCCGAATACTGTATAATACAAAAAAGATAATTTTATGGTAAAAAACCTTATAAGTTAACAGTTTTTTAAATTATTGTGCTTGAAGTTTTTGGAACATTATGAAAGTAAAGGTTTGCCAGTCGTTCTTACTGACGTGGTTACCACGTGGTCTGCCTACCGCACATGGACAAAAGAGTACTTAATGACTCTCTGCGGAAATCGCCTTTTTACTGCGGGTCCCACTTTTCACTTTTCCATTTGCGAAACGTTTTATTAAATTTTAATAGAAAATATATATTATCATTTTTATAAAATTTTTAGGTTAATTAAAATTCTTTTTAAGTTCATAAATATTTTGCTACTTTTAATTAATTAGAAGAACATTTGTTAGTATTTGTATAAGTGTTTTAAATTTTTAAATTTCCTTTCTTATTTTGAAATAATAACTTTAAAAAATTTATAAAGTCATATTTTAGAAGTTAACTTAATTTTTAGAGCACAACTTGTACATTTAATTCATACCGATACTTTGGAATTCATTTTTAATTAATTTTTTAAATTTTTTGTGATTTTAACGAAACAACTTTTATTATTATAAAGAGAGTTAATTTATAAAAGTTTGAGATTTTTTTATATAATTTTTACTATAGATTATATGTTTAGTGATAATGCTTTGGTTATACAAAGCTGAGCTGGTTAACTTTAATTAGTAATCATCCTGCATTGAAGGCTTTTGCTTTTTAAGTTTAGAAAAGAAATTTTTAAATAAATTTTTTTTATTAAAAAAAATTGCATGCTAGAGTTGTAAGTTTGGTTTCAGTTAGATTGCATTCTTATTATTTTTTTTTAAATAAAACTTTGAATCAGAAAATAAAACTTTTTTATTATTATTTGGGGTTAAGGCTTGGCCTCATCTACTTTAGAAGGATATAAATTTATAAAATAATTTTTTTTGTAAATATAAATACTTTGGGTTTGCGCAGTCAAATAACTTTTTAACCAATTTTAATTTTATAAATAATTTTTCTGCGCAATAAATTTATAAACTTTTTAGGTTCAGTCTCACTTTCTTTAGCTGATTTTTTTAAGATTTCTGAAACTATTGGAGATAATTCTTTATATATATTTGATAAAAGGTCTGTACTCACAGTATATTCAGAAGGATTTTTTAATTTCATTTGTAAACTTATAGGTTTGGTGAGAAAGTTACCGAGTTGGTTGCTGATTACGTTGTTCCCGATTATTTTTCTGAAGATCTCTTTTCCGTTCTTGGTAAAAATAGACCCGACTATAGGTAGGTGTAATTTTAATTTAAATTTGTCTAATAAAAAATTGATTCTTTGGGTTTATATCTTTGTGATTTGCAGTTTTATTACTTGATTTACTTAAAAGACATTTCATATAAACCAAATTAATGTTGAAATTTTTACGTGAAAGTTTTACAATCTTATAATTAAAACTTGAAGCCTTTAAGAAGCGCTTTGTGTATAATAAATTAAGTAAAGTTATGAAAATTCAAACTTATTTTTATTTTAAAGGGAAAATATTATACTCTTTCGCTTAAAAATTACTTTAAGTATATTTTAATTTTAAAAAAAAGTTTTCTGATTTTTATAATTTTTTATAAACTTAAAAAATTAATTGAATATATATTATAAATAAATTAATTATTTTTGAATGTTGATTAACTAGTACTTCTGTATAAACTTGAAAATATAGAGAAAATCCTAACGTATATTTAGTACAATACATTAATATCTTATATAATTTAGTCGGACTTGAAAAATTTAATTATTAGGAAACTAAAAATTTTATAGAGTAAAAAATAAGCTAGAAGAGTTATTTAATTAATATGAAAGTAAAGTTTTTTAATAGTGACTTTATTATTAAAGGAGCTTTTTATATAAATTAAATGAAATTTTTTAAATAAAATCAAGAAGCCAGTGAATAATAAATCAATTTTTTTATTTTTACTTGTACCGAAAATTTATTTTTCATCGTAAATAATCACTTCTAGATGGCTTGTCATTGGAGGCCGCTACTCCGGCTCGACTTTCCATATTGATCCAATTGCTACTTCTGCTTGGAACGCAGTGATTCGGTTTCTTTTATCAACTTTAAATATAAATTTATATTTATTTATTTTCGAGACTGTAAAGAGGTGATTACTTTATTGTTTATTTAGGTTAAAGATTATATCAACTTTTTTTTTTATAGTTTTATATCTAATTAAAAAAAAAGTTATGATAAGTTTGATATAGATTTTTTCTGAATTTTTAATTTTTTTTGTTAAAAATTTTAAAAAATTATGTCAATTAAGTACGATTGGTTTATATTTTTATTAATATCATTACTTTATTACTTACAAAAGGTTTGAGAAGTGGTTTTTTTTTACTTTTTATAACAAAATTATAATAATTAAATAATTTATTATATGTTTATATATTAAATTACGAAAGGCTTGAAGAGGCGATTTCTGATACATAAATTTTATATTTATTTTATGTTTAAATATCAACACTAGTCAGGATAAGAAAAAATTTTTTTTTCAATATATTATTCGTTATACAGTTTAATTTATTTATTTAAGTTACTAAAAAACGAGGTATTATAGTTTTTTCGTTTATTTTGTGCAGCGGATTTTTTTAGAGGAATTTATTATAACTTAAAGAAGTGAATTCGTTTAGTAATTAATTTATTTATTAATAAAGTTTTTACGGCAACATGGAATGTAAATTTAATTATTATATTTGAAAAGCTTGAATTTTTAATTTTATAATAAATTTAATCTCGAGAGGTAAGAAGAAGTGGATTCTCTTTCCACCCGGCACAGTCCCCCCTGGGGTTATTCCTAGCGAAGATTTAGATTCTGTGGCCACTCCGGAGTCTGTTCTTGAGTGGTACTTGCACGTTTAGATTTTTTTAATTTATTTAATTAATTACAAAAAAAGGTTTTTTCATTTCTATAAAAGTTGCAAAAATCTTGAAAGGAAGCCGCTGGAGTGCGTGGTTAGTGCGGGAGAACTGATTTACATTCCGTCTGGCTGGTGGCATGTTGTTCTTAACCTTGTACTATGATTTCTTCATAAATTTAATTTTTGTACTTAATTTTTTTTATTTTAAGGAGGAAAGCGTGGCTGTCACTCAGAATTACGTCAGTTTTTCTATTCTTACAAAAGTTTTAAAGTTTCTTAAGAATAAAAAAGGACAGGTATATATTTATATAATCTTTTGATCTATTAATTTCATCTATATTTAAGATTACTGGCTGTGGAAGTAAAGAGACTGCTGATACACTTTTTGAGCGTTTTTCAAAGGCTCTGAAAGAAAAATTTCCTACAAATTCACAGGTGATTAGTAGTCTACAGCAGTGCTCTACAAGTTTCTGGGAGTTGTTAACTCTCAATTCCCATAAATCTTTTGCATTCCAATTTGGGGATAATTAAAATTTTTGTAAAACTTATTAAAAGAATAAATTTTTTTTCTTTTTTATTTACTAATTTCAGGCATATTTGTTGAGGTAATTATTTTACTTGCGTTGATTTTGCATTTTTTTTGAACACTTACTGTTAGCTCAATGCGTCTTTAATTTTTTTTTTCAAGTCATGTATTTTATTTCTACATCGGAAGCTAAAAAAAAAAAGATCGCAATTTCTTAAACTTGCTTTCAAAATTCACAACTCTTAACGCTATCTTCACTACACGCGTAGCTCTAAGAATTAAACTATAGCGCTTAGCGTAATTCAGGTTGAACGAGCGGGAGAGGTTTAAAGCTTAAAGTCCTTTTGGGTACCTTCAGTAGTTCAGATATATTAAAAGGAAATCACCCGAATTAATTCTTTAAATATAATAACTTTAATAATGCAAAAACATGATTTATTTAGGAGCAATAGTTTTTTCAGAAATAGTCCTTCTTTACTAATCCTACCTAATTTTTTTTTTTGACGTTGTAAGTCATACGTAATTAAAAAATATTATAAGCCAGGTGTCCTTGTTTAAAGAATAGTAAAAAAATAAAATATAAGAAAACAAGGGACATATTGATTACTCCTAATTTACATCTTTAGAAAGTTTTATTTGAGTAAGTTATCATAATACAACTTTCCTTTTACGCTGACATGCATGTAATTATGTCACTATCTAAAAGTAGTAACACTTAGTATAACATAAAATAAAGTTAAAAAAAAGTTTTACATATAATATAACGCATAACTCATAGTTCAGACTGCTTTGTACTTTACGTTCCTTTTAGCAAAACGAAAAATCGCACTAACCAAAGTTTATAATAGAGACCATAAACTAAATAAATCATTACGTTTATTGCTATGCCGGAATTAAGTTTTACTACTTTAAATATCTAGTTATTTTTAGATAACTCGTTTTTCTTACATAATGGGTATAATTGAGAATTGTTCTATTCATTTTCTTTATAATTATTTGAGTTCTTTAGTAGATAGTTGTCAATTTTATGTGTAACTAACAGCCATATTAGTGTAAACTTTTTTATTGTTATAAAACTATATCTTTCGATTCTGGAACAATACTGATAGAATCTTTAAATATGCTCGCCTTATTTTACTCTTTTCCTGAAAGGCAGTTCTTTTAATATGGTGTTGCCACTGCTTACCACGTTTTACTTATTTTTAAATATTTCTAACGCGCTTAATCATTAATTATTCATTGCACAGTTTATACTAGTATTCTATTTGGATCTCATTGCAATTACTCGCTCAAGCTGTGAGTGTGGAATATGAAAAATGAGGGGCAGGAATAAGCTTTTCAAAATAATCTTCATTATTACCTTGCAATTTTAAAGAAAATAATAAGCAATTTGCAAAGTCATATAAACCGATAGTAATGCACAGAAGGTTAGAAAGTTTACTTTTTACTATTTTTATAAACCATTATAAAGGAAACAAAGTTTTCGGGGACACTGAATCTAATGTATTGAATTTAATTCTTAAAAAAAGTCTGCTCAGTGAGTCCTCGCTCTTTTACTTTTAGATTTTTTAGTAGACTGCTCCACATCAAGATCCTAAATAAAAAAATTAAAATTAAGTAGAAAAAAAATTAAATTAAAAATAAGGGAAGTTATCTATCTTACAATAAGTATGATAAGTTAATTTATAAGTATACATTAAACTGAAATCATGAAGGCGCGTTTGCACGGTCACATATATCAAAATATGAGAACAATTATGTATGCAATTCGCAAATTAACAAGTATAGCAAATAAAACGTATTTAAATATCAATATTAAAATTTTAAAAATTTGAAAGTAGCATCAATTTTTTTAATAAATAAATAAAATTAAAACAACAAAAGTTTATTATGTTATTTAACTGAGGCTGCTCGTATGAGGGCACTACACTTATCAATAAATAGGTTAAGGATAGCGTGCGTGCTGCCCTTGAAGGACTATGAAACTAAATTATTATAGTGCCATTAAGCTTTAATTAACAAAGTTCTTTGTAATATTTTACTTTAAAAAAAGTTCTTGGAGTTTGGAACTTATGGAGCAACCACAGCTGGCATATGGTGAAAGCTTGACAAGAGCCAGAAAGAGCTTAAAAATAAGTATACATTAACCAAATGATTTTTTTAAGAATCTACAATTTTGCTTTGGTGGACAAACATAATAGTAGAACGTGCGCAAGACAACGAACTCAAGTCATTTTAGTTATAAATAACTGAACAGAATAATTAACTGAAAGAATAAAATTTAATAACTCATTGAATATGGCAAGGTAAATTTTTAGTTTATAAACTATTTTCTCAGCGTCATACTATATAAAGGAAACAATCCAGTAATTATAAAAAATGTGCGCTCTTCAGCACAATATGACAGCCTTTAAAATCCATGCCATTTGTTGTTATTTTTTTGCTTGAAAAATTATTTATATTTTTTTATTGTATATCGCTAAATTTTATAAGGAAACATTTACTTGAAACTAATATTTTTTCGGTCTTCAACATTAAAAAATTTAAAGTGGAAATTTTTTTTTTGATAATTTCGCTAAAGCGTAAGAAATTTTTATTGAATACAAACACAATTTTGTTGGGTTGATACACTATTTATGCATTGCGTGTGATCGACTTATACTGGCCGCAGTTTATAAATAAAAACTCCACTCCTATTAAGAATACTTTAAACTATTTTATTTCAAAAATAAACGTAATATAAGTAACTTTATAAGGAAATTCTTGACCAACCAGAATTTAATAAGCAGGAAATTAACTTCTTAACAAAAATCATAGCGAATGTATAAAATATATTATATTCTATGTAACAGTTATTTGAGCCAATTAAATTAAGTCCAATCAGAGTTAACAGCGATAATCAGGAATTCTTTAAGAATGCCTACTAATCAATAACTTAATTAGTTCCAAATAAAATTTAAAATGCCTCAAATCTAAGTCAAAATAAAAGTTTGTTGTTCATTAGCGTCAAATAAGTTAAATGATTTTCTAGAAAAATATTTTTTTTCCGACTAAAACTTAAATGATCCCATTTTATAGTCAAATACAATTTTAAACTTTATATTGTTGATCAGTTCGTTATTAATAACTAACAAACTTTATAATGAAATATTTAATAACACAAAAACGGTTATCATAAACTGCTTTACACAAGTAAAATGGTTATAAAAATAATAACTTTCAGTAAAAAATGTTATAAATTTTATTAGAAGAATATAAATACTAATAATAATTATTAATAAAAATAGTATAAAATTTTATATATAATACATATGATAACAATAAAAATTTTTGAAGAACAAGGAAATACATACTAACAACATTAATTATTAATAAAAATAGTATAAAACTTCTTAAAATAAAAATTAATGTACAATAATAATAGTAATAATAACAATAATATAATTATAAGTATAATAATTATGGTAATAATCACTGGTATTGCTGCAGTTGTCCAACAACACTGTAAGGAAATAATAAAAACATCACCAGCATTTTATGTCAATATACATTAAAAGTAAAAAATAATAAAGTTGGGCGTAGGAGAAATTTAGTAAAAGTAATAATAATGAATAACAATTAATCGGTAGAATAATCAAAAAAAGTATACTTTTTTAACATCAGTACAAGCAGTTTTCCGTTTATTTGTTTTTTTTGAAGAACTTTTAGCTTTTATATTACGATCTAAACAAAAGAAGGTATAAATTTTTATTTATTTCCAGAGAAATAAAATCTTTTGAATAATATAAAAACTTATTTATAACAAAATAAGAAAAAAAATAATTTAAGTAAAGTATACTATAACAAAGAAAAAGTATAGATACTTAGTTCATTAATATAAAATAAAAAATATTTATAAATAAAATAATAAAATTTATAAAAATAAACAGCACAAGTTTATTAGAACATAACTTTAATGTTATTAATAATATTAATAAAAGTTTAATTATGAATTATATTAAATATTTTTTTATTTTTCTATATTTTTTTGTCAAAATATATTTAGAAAAATCACAACGAATAAAATTTATATGACTATAGAAAAATATTTTTAATATTATTAAACTAAATATAACTTATAAAGATGGTGCCTATGAAACTTTTACAATAGTATTAAACTTGTTATATAAATTACGAATAAAAAAAATGCAATATAAACCTTTATATACACTTTATTAAGAATAAAAATAAGTAAAACTTTTTAAATTTTACAACACTGAATATAAAGTTATAGAGAAAAGAATAATATTTAAAACTTTTATAAGTATTATCAAACTAATAAAGAAGAGTTATAAAAATAAGTAAACCAGGTAGTAATATTAGCAAATAGAACATAAAAAAGTTATATAACAGGATATTTATAATTTTATATAAAATACTAAACGATATATGTAAAAAGTAAAACTTATTTACTTATAAATAAAACTTTTAAAATATTAATAACAAAAATCTATATAAAACTCGTAGAAAGCGTAAAACTGAAAAAGTGTTATAAAGGAAATAAGTGGAAAGTATGAATTTTACTTGTTATGCTTAATTTATTTAAAACTTTTCCTATAAATTAATTTTTATATATAAAGTTTAACTTTTATTTATTTACTTTTTAAAGAAATTTGTTAAATGTGTTCGCTTTTGCATATTTTATCAATATATTTGAATATTTTAAACTAAATAAAGTTATTAAGAGAATATTATTATTTTAATTTATATTTAAACTTTAACAAGAAAAAGAAAAACGTATAATGACAATAATAATAATTTATTAAACCTTTAAGAAATTCTTCTTCTCCAGAAGTTTCACTTACTTCCGGCTCTGAAAAACGCTCATTCTCATAATCTTTGAAAACTGAAGGCGCTATAAATAAGAATAATTAATAATACATAATAATAAAAAATAGTTTTACATATTGAAGAAACAAAGTCCTTTTCTAGTTTGTAATATAAAAAAGTACAGCAATTATATATATATAAATAAGTAAATATTGAAAATATTTATAATAATAATAAAAAAAGATTATTTAAAAGAACTGTAAATAATAAAAATAATAAAAAAATACAATAATACTTAAAATAACAATGAGTTTAAGATAAATAAATAGAAAGCGCATATATAATTCCATTATTAATTAAAAAAAAGATTATAAGTGAAAGTTTTGACAAATATATTATAGACAACAGAAAAAAAAGCTTTAGTAAAAGTTTTTTAAAAAAGGTTTTAAATATCAATAGTTGAATAAAAAGTTTTATTAAAAAAAAATAAAAATAAAAGTACGGGAGCCTGAGCGTTGGCGGGAGGGTTTGGCTTTTAGTGAAAACGGCAACACGTGCTGGCTTTTGTTGTAAAGGCGCGTAAACGTCGACTTTGTCCTCGTGTCTATTTGGGAGAGTACCGTTGGTTGGCCTTTATATTCAGCAAGTTCAATAATAGAGTCCCTTTAAAAAAATTAGCCAATAAAGTGCTTAGTAGTTTAAAAGTTTTTACCAGTCGTCACGTGTAAGAGTATATCGATCCATAAACTGAATAGTTCCTGTTATTCCATCGACTTTACTGAATATTATTTATATTATTATGGTTGTTATCATTAATTAGTAATACAATTATTATAAAAGTAAACAGTTATAAAGGAAAAGTTTAAATATCATTACGTAGAAAACATTCATAAATTAACTTTTCTAATTCGTTTTAGAAACCAATCAGAAGAAAGTAATAATGAAACCATTCTGTACCAGAGCCAATCGTCTTTATATTAAATCCACAAAAAAAATGGGTATATTTATACTTTTATAAGGATTTGGAAAAAAATTCATTTAAAAAAATTACTGAGAAAAAATTGTTTAATATTAATTATATATTATTAATATTTTGTTTGTTTAAAAATTATTATAGAATGAGAATATAAATATAAAACATAAGAAAACTGGATAAAAAATAAAGTTTTATAATATATAAAATAATATTTAAATAAAAGATACGAAACACGATCAGTAAAATAAATTTTTATTAGATTTTCTAACTTTTTTTAAGAATTACTCAATTTTAATAGTAATAAATAATACTCTTAAAAATATAAATATAAATACAATAATATTCTTGGAAACAAATATTGATGTAAACTTTTAGAAAATAATATAAATATTTACTGTTCTTATAAACTTTTATTATTATTATTGAAAAGTTTATACGTTTAGTTTTAATAAACTACTAGTATTTATATATAATTTATCGTAAAAATTAGTATTTATTCCTTTAAAGTGTTTATAGAAATATTCATTGCTATTCATATCTTTTTATATATTTTTATAATTAGAATGAAAAAAAGTTAGTATGACTACGCTTTATTTTAGAAAAAATATTTATTACTTTAAAGTTCACCAAAAAACATTCACCACTATTCATAGCTTTTTATATATATTGATATAAGGAGCATTATAAATAGTAAACTTATAACTGTAAATATTGAGTACTTTTTTTTAGTGTTTATAAAACATATTCATTACCTTCAAATCTTTTTTATAAAAATAGTAAAATAAAAGTTTATATGTTCAGTATTAACGATAAACCATAATTATTTATATATAACGTATTGTGAGAATAAAAATTTATATTTTTGACACTCTATAATATGAATTTATTACTTTCCAGCCTTTCACATAAACTTCAACAGTTATTACAAAAAAAAACATCAAAAAAAGAATACCTTTTTACAATATAAAAATAAATATAGTAACCACTACACTTTGAAGGATATACTTTTTGATAATGAAAAAAGGACCAATCATGTAGGGAATAAATAGTTTTCCTCCCACAAAATTTTTTGAAGCATACTCTTTGATGGGCTTTATAGCCTTCACTTAAATTCAATATTCATCAAGAAAAGTAAATTATAACAAAAAATCCCTTTTTTACGTTAAAAGATGCCATATAAACAAAGATTGGGTTGTCCGATATATTTCCTTATGTGTAAAACTCCCTTTTTCTTGGCAGCCAAGTTTTTTTTAAAAAATAAATAGTATTTCACTTTCAGTACTCAACAGAATTATTATACTAATAAAAAAAGAAGGATACTACAACAACCGCATAATATTAATATTTAGTGAAGTTTTACTTTAAGAAAAACCAAGAAATTTTACTATTTAATAACTGCCGTAAACAACTTTTTTAATAAAAAAATAAACGTATACTAGACATAAAAGAAGTTCATTCATTATTTTATATTAATAATAAAATAATAATAATAATAATAATTAAAATAATATTAATAATATTAATAATAATAAACTTTATAATCAACGAATGAGTGATTCTTATTTTTAAAAGCGGCAAGTAATTTTGGTTGAGCTGGGTTTTGCCGACCATGCAGTGGACGCCCAAGTGTCGGTGCAAGTCAAGCAATAGCTGCTCGCTTCTCTTTTTCTTACTGTAATTTGACAGCCAACCAGGAAAGCTCAAGCCTACGTGCAATAAATAAAATGAATGGTAGTCAAAAAAGCAATACTTACATATTCTGTATATAAAAAAAACAGTATACTATTATTTTGTATATAAATGTTATTTCATTATATTTAAATATATAAGAAAATAATAAAAGTTTTCAGGTAATATATTTATGTAATAATAAAAAAGATAACGTTAATTTAAAGAACATAGAAACTTTATATAATGAAAATAATGATTAAAAATCAACCAATAGAACAAAAGAAAATGTGATTACTTTTTTTAAAACAATTTACAGATTCTTATTATCATCGCTACTTTCACTTTATTTATTACTAATATTATAAAAATACACTGATTAAAAAGGGGACTTAAGTAGATACGGAGAAAAATTTATAATTATTATTAAATTTAGATTATAAAAAAACTTCAAATATAGATTAACTATATTTAAATAAAAGGTACCCCAACCTCCCCCAGAAAGGCCGCCTCTCATCAACGTGGCTGGCCTTTAATAATAATAATAGTAATAATAATATTATTATTATAATTAAAGTAGAGTAGTGCCTTGCCAGTGTTAATATTCCACTAACCGGCATCAAATTCCACGAGCCTAATAATAAAGAAGAGTAATCCAATCTCGAAAAGTAATAATTTAATGGAAGAAAAAAACCCAATTGGTTGATCAGGGTGTCGACAAGGTCGCCTTCGCTAAAACTATTGGCGGCTTCACTTTATTATAATACATAATTGCATAATTCAGTCATAATTCTTATGACTCCACCTGACCAATTGGAGAGTACGCAGTTGTTGAGCACTGGGCGACAAATTCCCCTCCAAAAAAGGCTTGAAGTGCAAAAAGTTTTCTTGGCTCAAAAGAGGGACCAGCTCATTAGAAAAGTAGAACTTGAGTTTATCATTGACGCTCATTTTCTTATTTTCTCCAAAACTGTAGATCTTAATATTATTATTACTAATATTATTACCGTAATAATTAATGATCCACTAGAAAACCTTCTGAATAGCTTCAAAAGGATTGATGGAAACATCTTTCAGTGACTCCAGAAGGTCCTTCTTAACACCGTCGTAGCTAAAAGTTTTCGAGTTACGAGAGAGTATGGAAAGCTGATTTAAAAGCTGTAAATGTATATAATATTTATAGAAAGTTCTTATTATTTTTCCTGCTTACAATTTAAAAAAAAGAAATAATGAAGGTGTTTTTACTATAAATAATAATAATATTATTATTATAAATAAAAGAAAAGTCTTAAGAAAATACAAAAAAAATAATGAAAAGTATTTTTACTACTGATAATATAAATTTAAAGAAAAAACACTAATAAAGCAAATTTTGATTGGCTGACCTGACGAATATCGCTGTGCTTGGAAACAATCATTTGCTCCAAAGTCTGCGAATCAAGCTTCAGGCCTTCCTTTTGGGCGATCCCCATTAGTCTTCCCTTCATCAGTTTTGAATAATAATGAAGTTTAAGTATATATATAAAAACTATAATATAATAAAAATAATATATAATAATATGTAATATAAAATAAGGATAACTAGTAAAAAATAATAAATAAATAGAAGTGATGAATAACAATAATAGTAGAATTATAAAAATAATTATAACAAACAAAATAAAACAAGAAATAATAAAAATTATAATAAATAATTCAAATATTTATAAGAAAATTATTTAAAAAATTTAAAAAAAAGTTATAAAATAAAAAAAATTTATAACAGAAATTATTCAAATAAAGTTTGTAATAATAATTAATTAATAACTTTTAAAAAGTAAAATAATAATTTTGATGATCTCGTTATCATTAAAAATACATATAATTTACTATATAATTAATATATAAGATAATATTATCATTCCAAAAATAAATAAAAATATTAATATAAAAAAAAATAATAAATAATAACTTATACTTAAAATAATAATAAATTATTACACTCAAAAAAAAAATACAAAAATTTACTTCTATCAAAATTTATAATAAAAAAATATTAGTTGCCTATAAATTAACGAATAATAAAAATAAATATAAATTATAAGTAAAAAAAAATTTTACCCAAAAGATAAACGATATTTACTTAAAAATAATTATTATAATAATAATGAATATAAATTAATAATATAAAAAATAATTTATAATTAGTATAATAAAAAGTCTACTTAAAGATAAACATACCATTTTCAAATAATTTATTATATGATAAACGATAATAAAATATTGATAAAAATTCAAAATTGAAGTGTAAATTAATAAAATGAAAAGAGTATTTATTATAAATTATCTCTAATAATACTAGTAATAAATAACATTGATATACTATAAATAAAAATAAATAAATTAGTATAATATTGAAGTAATAAGAATAATAAATAAATAAATAAATTAATAAATAAGTAATAGAGAAATAATAATAATAGATAAAAATAATGTAGTAAATCATAAAATAATATTTATAGAAAATAATGACTATAAGTAATATAATAAATAATAATATATAATAAAAATAAATATCAAGAAGGAAAAATAAAATATTATTGAAACAATAATAAATATGGTGGTAATAATACTAAATAACATAGAAAAAATTATAATAAATAATAAACTATTATCAGAAAATTTAATAAATGTGTAATAATAATAATAATAATTCGTAAAGACCTTAATGGCGAGAGCGGATGGACGGACAAACTTCACGTCGTGGCAATGATTCAGAAGCGATCGAATCTTCGGATCGTTGTGATCGTTGGCGATGCAAATTATCGGGACTTTCGTGTGCTTGACTAGTTGGATCAACTCTGGTTGGCGCAATATAATAAGAAGTTGTACAAAACATGGAAAATAATAAAAATGAAATATATCTATATAAAAATAATTAAAAATTTAATTTTAGTATAAACTAAGTATATAATAGTTAATAGATACTTATAAAAATAGAAAAATTTAGTAAATAAAAAAATATAAAAGGATAAATTATGTTAATAAATATGTAATAATAATAACAATAAAAATAAACAAAATATAAAACATAAAAAGTATGTGTTAATAAAGGAAAAGAAAAGTTTTGTTTAGGAACTTTTTCGTACATAATAAATAAACGGAATAAATTTATACAGCAAAAGTTTTTTTAAGAAAAAGTTTAAACTAATAGAATATATGCAGCTTATTAAGTTAAACCAATAAAATGAAAAAAAAAGTGTTGAATGCTTATCAATCATTCGCAATTCTACTCATTCTCAAAGAAAAAAACTCTTAAAAAATGTGTAAAAGCTTTATTGGCTGTTGCTTTCTACAATTTATATATAAAAATGAACAAATAAATATAAATTTACAAGAAAGTTACGGGTAATAATATAATAATATTCACTATAAACCGTGAGACCTGCGATACCACCGCGGTCCCCTGAGGACATCCCGTCGACTTCGTCCATAATAACCACGTGTTTTTTATAATTCCCGCCAGAAAAACTGACCACGTAGGTCTGAGTCAACGCTTTCACCGTGTCGTGCAGTCTGATGGGTTTAAATAAATCATTAAAAAGGAGGTTAAAATATAACATAAAGAAAAGCATTAATTGGGGAATTCCGACATTAAAATTTTACTATAAAACTAAATTATTAGTGGAAGTAGTTGTAGAAATTAGTGATTTGTAAGCAGAGTCGTTGGGTCTAACGGAGGAACATTATTGATCAGGTCTTATGTGTCAAAAATCATAAATTTTACTCATGTCAGAACTTCAAAGGATACCAATCAGTAGCCTCTTTAGAAAATGCTTTAAAAATAACGAAACTTCTAAATTGTTGTATTATTAAATAATTAGCAAGAAAATTCTATGGGAAATTTTATGGCTTTTAAAAAATTTGAACCAAAAAAATTATCCAATCAATTGCCTATAAAACTATAAAAAGAAGTTACGAGCTTTTTGAGCGCGTATCGCTAGCGTTAAACTCCTTAACGGCGTAGTCCGCCTCTTTGGCAAGCAGGCAAGCTGCAGAAGACTTCCCAATGCCTGGGGGGCCGGATATTAATACAGCGCGGGTTTGCGGATCGAGCGTTTTGCCGGATTTGCCTTCATGTTTATTTTAAATAATAAAATTGGCCAATCAGACTTTATAAAGTGTATATAAAAAATGTGCATTGGATGTAAACAAGCTAAATAACATTTGTCTCTCAAAAAGTAAATAAAGTATAATGTTCAGAACTTGGCGGTTTAGAGGCCTTTCCGGAAGAGTCAAAGCGCTTTAACCAATCCAAAAGCCGAGTAATGGCGGCGTTGTTGCCTATTAGCTCCTAAATTATGCATAAAAAAGGGGGAGCCCCAAAAAATATTGAGATATAGCAAAAAGGTATTTCATTATAAAAGGTTCGATAAAAAACAAAATAGAAGACTCCCCTAACTAGGCACATAGCCCACCAACAACGACAAATACGAGAGCTTCAATTATTAGTCAACCAATAACATTAGAAGGATGGAGAGAGCACCAAAAAAACACAGATAGGGAGTATATATTTATTACTATTAATATTATAACTTTTTAAATGCACGTGATAAGCATCTTTTTATATTATCTTAAAAACTCAAGAAGTTTACTTGCTAATAAAATATTATGAAGACCACAAAAATGCTATAAAGTGGAAAGTCTATCCATTTAGTTTCAATAATTTTAATGAATAGCGAATTTTTGTGTTTATAAAAATAGTGAAATATAACTTTATATACTTTTATAGTTTTTGGCTTGTATTTTTCAACCCACAAATCATGACAGCACTTTTCGGTAATTTTTGGTTTCTTGCTTTCCTTTTCCTGTAGTAACCGATAACCACGAAAGAAAAATGTTGTAAGAAAAGTATAATAATATTACCTTCGCTGTATCAGAAATACTCCTTTTCCTAGTAGTTGGAGAGCTTTAAAAGAATTTATAATTAAAAAAAGAGTAAAAATTTATTAGCTACATTCTTATAACCAAAAAAAAAAACAAAAATAACGAAATAACATAGAAGCACAGAAAAGTCCTATAAAAAGTTATCTGGACACGAAAAAAAAAGAAGACTGACCCCGGACTTTTGGTGCCCAATTCAATATCATAAGGATCTTTTTGGGCAGGGAGCGAAGCAATCAATTCCAAAAACGCGTCTTCCGTAAGTGTTTTAGTGCCCAATGAAGCTGCTTTGGCTTCTTTGGAGGGTCCGGCCTCCTTTCCTACCACCAAATAGGTCGTCCGGGAGCTCACCGCCAAAGTCACCCTGTTAATAATAGTATAATAATAACAAAATAAAAAGAATAATATCAATAAACATTAAGAAAAATATTCTTTATCGCTTTTATAAATATCAAACTAGTCGCATATGCAAAACTTTAAAGAAAATATATATTGAAGTAAACATAGAGAAGCTAAGCGAATATTAGTAAATATCACTTTAGTATATAATAATCATTAAGATATTTTAATTAGTATATCGCAAAGTTTTTAAAAAACTTTATATATAATAATAACACTTTAGTGGAATCACGATTAATAATATTTATATATAATAATAAAATATGAAAACATTAGTAGTAAATATATACAGTAGTTATAGTAAAAACAAACATGTGTTATTAATATTTTTTAATTTTTCCTTTTTATATAACTTCTTCACATGTTTACCAACTTATCATTACTATTATTTATTTTTGTTTGCTTTATTTTTTATGAAAAAATAAAAGATTTTTATTTTATACAATTCTTTTTATTTCTAGTATTTTATGTATTATTCTTAAGTTTTTATTAATTTCTTTTTGTATAATTCTTCGCATGTTTATTAACTTATCATTATTAAGTTTTATTATTTGCTTTATTTTTTATAAAAAATTGTCATTATTTTTTTCTATTCTCTTTAATTCGAGTATTTCCTGTATTGTCTATTAACTTATAATCATTATTTAATTTTTTTTATTTGCTTTATATTTTATGAAAAAAAGTTATAATTTTCTATTCTTTTAATATTTCTTGTTTATAGTATTTATATAAAATTATCTATTTTTTAGTTATTTTCTTCTTTTTCTTTTATACTATTAAAGTTATATGCATAGTTAAATATAACGATGACGAATTTTATATACTATAAGTAAATAAAAATTCAAAAACTGCCTGTTTCTAACCAATGGCAAAACGAAAAAGTAAAATGTAGAGTATTTATCAAGCCCAGTCATAGATCATTATTTTTTCTGACAGTTTATTCTTATTTGTTTAATCAAGTGAAAAATTCGTGCTATTCGCTAAGCCCCCTTTGATATTCAACTTTTTTTACTATAAACTAAAAATGTAAAAAAATAAAATTTGGTATGTCCCCAACTTTCCTTGAAAAAATGCTTCGTAAAAATTGCAACAAAAATTTTAGCGAAAAATAAACACTCACTTCCCTCCAAGTTTTTTAACGAGGTCAACTGCATCTTCTCTGGCGAGGGTTTCCAGTTCTCCAGTGAACACAAAAGTCATGTGGAGAAGACAATTGGGCTTTCCTTTAGGTATTTTTCTTTTATCTATTAATTAAAAGTTGAGTTCAAATAAAAAAATATAAAAAATTACACATTTTGTTTTAGTAATATTAAAAAAATAAATATAATAAATATAAAAAGAAATTTATTAGCTTCACAGTAAATAAAAATAAAAAATATTATTATAAAGTTTGTTATGTAAGTTATGGCCAAAATCCAAATATTGTTTAAAATATATTTTTACTTTTATATTAATATAAAAAATAATGAATTAAAAAAAAAGGGAATGAAAATAATAATAAGAAAAATAATTACAGTAAAATATATAAATAGCGTAACCATAAATTAAATAAAAGAATATTTTTATAAAGTTTATTATAAAAGCTAAAACAATAGAATTATTGAAATTATAAAAGAATGACACAATTTACTTTAAAAATAATAAAATATACAAAAACATAATAATGAAAATTAATATTATAAAAATAGAAGTAGCTTAAAAAAAAAAAAGTTAAAAGTATTATAAAAAATAAAATATTATTTTCACTTTAAAAATATTATAATTTTTCGTCACTTAAAAAAATTATTTTCTTTTCTTTTTATAAAAAAATTTTTTAATATATTATTTTTTTAAAAAATATAGTAAAATAAATAATAAAAACAGTTGCTATTAATAATATAATATAAAAAAATACTTCAAAATTTATATAACTAAACTGATATATTAGAAAAAATTAAAAAATTATAACGTATTATTTTTTATAAACAATAATAAATATCAGTTATTATATATAAAAACTTGTAATAACAGTAATAATATGTATTTAAAAATAATAATAATAAATAATAATAAATAAAATATTATAAGTAAAAGTGAAATTACATTTATACATACTAAATAATAATATATAATAAATCTTTATATTAAAAACGAAAATCAAATATACAATATATAATATATTGATGATAATAACATATTTTATAAAACGTTATAATAAAATATATTTAATAATAATAATATAATAGAATTTTTAATAAAATTTTAATAAAACAAAAATGATATGAAAATTTATTATAGATAAATTAATATTAAAAAATATAATAATAAAAAAATATATTTATAAACCAAATTATATAAGAAAACATAATAAATAACAATAAAAAGTAAGCTTATAATAATAGCAGTATATAAAGAATAGTATCGACAAAAAATATTGTTTTAATAGAAATATTTATGAACACATTAATAATAAATTAAAAAAGCTTATAACAAAAAGTATAATAATATATATAACTAGTAATAACATAAGACATTATAAAAAAATTTATTACGGAAAGCAAGAGGTAAATCAATGAATAACGATAAAAAATTATTTGTATAAGTTTATAATAATATATAAATAATAACAATATATATATTATTTTAAATAGAAAAACATAAAAACAATAAATAAATAATAAAATATCTTATAAAAATTTTTAATAATAATAAAAAGAAAAATTTATAAAGGATTACTCTAAAGTTACATATATTAATAATTTTTTATTTTTTAATTAAAGTTTTGTTATAGTTTGGTTATTGACGGAGAAAAAGAGTAGGAATGGAAGATATACAAAATGTGTGACAAGCATAAAACACGTGGCAGGCATGCGGTATAATGACACATGCGTAGGTACCACGTGGTATGTGCACCTGATTAAAAGTTAGCTACAGCGGTTATTGATTTATTTGTTACTTTTATTATTATTACTTTTTATTCTGTTTTATATTAATCATAAATGGACGATAACGAACTATGTAAAAATAAATTATATTATAAAGAAAATGTATAATAAATAATACGAATTACATATAAACAAAATATATTTAAAAAAAAGTTTATAATAAAAAATAATATAAAAATCATAATAATATAAGGAATAATAACGATATATATATACAATATATTTTAAAGAAAGGTTTATAATAAATAGTAATAGTAAATAAATAACAAAAATTATTTTTCATAAAAGTTTATAATTGGATAAACGTAATAATAATATTTAATTAATATAACAAAATATATTACTTTAAAAAAAAGTTTATAACAGAAAATCGTAATAAAAGTAACTAAACAATAAGAAAAATAAGTTTTAAAAAAATTTACAACAGTAAAAGATATTAATAATTATATTATAAAAAATATTATTATTATAAAAATGTAAAAATAAGAGATGAAATATAAATAATAACAAAAAATATTAATTTAAAAAAAGGTGAACATAAAAAATATTGGTGATAAATAAATAATATAATATAAGAAAGTAATATAAGTTTTATTGATATAAAAATAATAACTAAACAAAATTATTTTTTAGAAAGTCTATAACAGAAAAACGTAATAGATAGTAATAAAGAAAAATAATATAATAGGTTATTTTTTCAAAAAGTTTATAACAGAAAAACATAATAAGAACGATATATAATAGTGCTCAAAGAATATATTTCCTAAAAAAAATGAATATAAATAGTTAAAAAAAATTATTTTTAAATAGTTTATAATAATAATATATATATACTTAATGAGAAATAAAGTAATTCCAATTAATAATAATACTTTTTATTATTTTTGAAATACGAAAGCGGTACCTTTTTTTTTATTCAGTACAAGTAAAACATATTAAATAAAACTAATAATAGTATAAAAGTTGTAAAAATAGTTTTAGTAAAAATATTTATATATATAAATAACGCAAGTAGTTAAAAACTATTACATGTAAATAACAAAAAAATATATATACAAAAAAAATAAAAAATATAGGAGAAATATATTTTTTTAGTACCAAAAAAATATTTAACACGTGTGAATACTAAAATTAGTAATATATATTATAATAATTAAATAAAAAATACTTAGTAAAACTTTTATAAAAAAAATTCATTAACTCGAAAGATCTTCTTGTACTTCATTACAGTCTGCTTCATTATAATCATTAACTCGAGAATGGCGTGATGCAGAATGCCCGAGTGGTTCGGCCGTTTGACTTGACTATAAAAAAATTCTTTTAATAAATTTACTTTTCTTATCACTCTTCTTCTTTATTATTTTTATTATAATATAATTTTTAGTAGAAATTATATTTGTACTATACGCTTAAAAATTTCTATTAACTTCAAAGTTTTTAGTAATAGTACTATTATGAAATTTTTATTATTCTTATTAACGTTTTTTAGTTTATAAAAAAAATAATTATTAGTTAAGTATAGTAAACAATCCGCTTTAAAATATAATATATTGACTTTCAAGTTGTAGTTAATAGCCGCTTGAAAGTAGAGCGCCATATACAATGTATACATTTACTATATTATTTGTTAAAACTTTTTTTTTTATTTTATGGTAAATCGTAATATTTATATAACAATTAATATTTCTAGTATTTACATATTTAACGATGTTTC